TGCTCCAGAATCAATAAGCCAATTATTGTTCTCTGGTTGTGGTGTGTTAATGTTGTCATGTTTTTTTAGCCCATTCAGTGAGCCAGATTTTCTATCCTTTGAGTTATCTCTGCCCCCTCTATGTTCTCTATAGTTGGGTGGACTTCTATATCTAAGTCTATCATTGGAAGACTGTCTGTTGTTGTACCTATTTCTATATTCTGACCTATGTCTATCTTTTTGAATTTTGGGACAATCCCTCCTATTATGTTCCTTAGATCCACAATTGTGGCACCTAAATGTTTCATGATATCTTTCTTGAAATGCTACCCTTTTATATTGTTTGTGTTCTATTTGGTTGTTATAACGACTTCTCCTTGAATTGTCTTCAGCTATTAATTTATTGGATAGGCTTTCTATGGATAAGTATCCTAGATTGATTGTGTCTAAGTGTGACATGTAATTATCCCATGATGGGTCAAGTGAATTGATGATAACACTTTTCATCGTTTGATCTGAAATCACCTCCCCCCTTAAATGCAGTTCTGCTCTAATCTTGTTTAAAGATATTAAATGTTCACTTATGGTAACCCCTGGCTTTATTCTAGAAGAGAAGAAATCTTTAGACATTCTTGTGGTAGTGGCTACGCTTTCACTGTGAAACAAATTAAACATGCATTGAATAATTTCTGAGACAGTCAGATTTTGCTTAATACTGTGATACATGGCAGGGGACACACTGGAAATTAATAGGAAAAATGCTCTATGATGTAAGCAATCTAACTTTAGAGTCCAAGGTCTTTTTGGGGGGTTGGTAATAAAAAACATTAAGTTTTCTTTCATAAAGACAACCTGGAGCTGCTGATACCATTCTTGCAAATTAATGCCATCTATTCTCAGCTTTGGGAAGTCACTGGGTAAATTCCCAACATTGTTGGGTCCATTACTTACAACCAGGGGTAGTCCGTGGTCTTGCAAATGTCGAAAATTGCAAAACGGCGTGGGAATGCTCGCAACGAGTTTGCATGGTTCTCTCTGCATCTCATGACTTCCTGGGTTGTCTGCGTAGTCCCGCGCATGCGCGTTGCTCATTTTGTTCCTGGAGTCATCGTGAGAGGTTCTCGCTGCTGCAGCTCCCTCGCTTCCTTCTTCTTCCGATGAATCAGTCTCCGGCTCGATCTTGGGAGTCTTGGTGATGGCGGGCGCTCGTCTTCTTTTGCTGAAGGCGCTGGTTCTTGGATCAGTCTGCGGTGTGGGGTGATATCTGCAGGGCCCTCTGGGTTCAGGTGTCGGTGCTTTCGCCGTCTGTATAGGAGCGGGTAGATTTTGAGGCGTTGGCTCGCTTGCTTGCCTTTTGGTTGATTTTTTAGTAATCTTCAGTTTCGGCCCAAATGCAGCAAAAAGCGTTTTCATTGCTGATTTTATTTGTGTGTCTATCGAATCTTCTTCATTCTCTGTTTCTGATTCTTCTGAGATATATACTTTTTCTTTTTCATTTTTCGTATCGAGTAAGGCTTTTCGCGCCAGACATTTTGAATCCTGCTTTCTGATTGGCTCTGCTTCACTCATCTTGGGAGTCCGTTGAAACCAAGATGGCTGCCATTCGAAATTTTGCGCGGGATTGTTGGTTTTCTTCTTCGTTGCATTTTTATCTGTAGGCATATCACTTACTATTTTTGAGTCTTTTGGTTTTTCAGTAGCGATGTGCTTCTCTCTCGCTGCTCCGTTGTTTTTTAGTATATCTTGGAGGTTCGCGACAAGACTTTCATCGCTCTTTTGGTTCTTTAGGAGTTTTAGTATCTCTGACCTGAGTTCGTTGTATTCTATTTCGTTTTCTTCTTGGTCATCATCTTTATTTATTGTTTCTTCGTCTTCTGTGGTGTATTCTTCAGATTCTCTCGAAATTGCATTTGTGGACTCATCTATTATTTCTTGATCCGCTTCCATTTCTTTGCTGTATGCCCTGGTGTTGGGCCTATCTCTTTTAGACATGTTTAAGTTTTTATTGAGTCAATTAAACCATCCTCTGCTACCAGATTGTTGCAATATTTTCAGGATCAGACTCAATAAATTGTTCAAGAATTAAGAGTTCAAATATATCTCTCTTTATTTACATAAGGCATTCTATATTCACTGAATATTCACAGATAGAAGCACAGAATGAACGTATGCAGCTCCTTATATATACAATAGGTGGAGCTAATTATGGGAGTGGTAAAGTATGAATACATTAAGAAGTGAAGAATAAGTTAACCCCTGACACACTGTTCATATATTATTTACATAATGGAGAATAAGGCATTTACTTGTGACAATCTTTCTTCTTCTATATAGTTGTCGTTTCTTCTCTCTTGATCCTTATCCCGTCCACAATATCATTTCATTACTAACATAATATTCTACTCATCACATATTTATGTGTACTTATATAATTAATCATTTATATCTCTTTTCCAACCAATAATAAAAATCATTCCATATTTTAAAATATTCTGAGTCTTCTCTATCTTTAATCATCAAGGTTAATCTATTCATTTCAGCACAGTCTAAGATTTTTTTTAGTACTTTTTCTTCCAAAGGTATTTTCTCCGCTTTCCAATTTTGTGCATAAACAATCCTTGCAGCTGTTATTACATGTATTATCAAATATTTTCCTTGCTAATATTTTCAGTAGGATACCCAATAGGAACAGCTCTGGTTTAAATTCAATACGTTCGTGTATCATTTCCTCCAACCAAGTCTTAAATTTAATCCAATAGTTTTTAGCTTCCGGATATGTCCACCACTTCTGATAATATGATCCTGGTAGTTGATGACACTTCCAACATTTAGCTGATTTTTCTTTAAACATTTTTGCTAATTTCTCAGGGGGCATATGCCATCTATAAAACATTTTATATTGATTTTCCTTATATGCAGTGGACACCGTTAATTTATAATTCCTTTCCCATAGTTGTTGCCATTTTTCCAAATCAATTGAGTATCCAAAGTTTCTTCCCCAAGCTATCATTGTTTCTTTTACTTGCTCCTCCTCTAATTCAATACTAAGCAAAAAATTATAATTTTTTTTATTAAATTATCATCTGTTCCCATGAGTATTCTATCCAACTCAGCCTTTTCCATATAAAAACCATATAGTTTAGCATCTTTCTCATAAATTGTTTGTATCTGCATATACATATACCAGTCTGTCTCAATCCCCTGTCCTTCTAGTTTAATAATTTAATTTAATTAATTTAATTAATTTAATTAATTTAATTTAATTTAATTTAATTTAATTTAATTTAATTATTTAATTTAATTTAATTTAATTTAATTTATCGAATTTCTATGCCGCCCAACTTCCAAGGGACTCTGTTCCTGTTTCCCTCTCAATTCCCCCTTGTCTGTTAGTAAATCCATATATCTAACAATATTACCAAAATTGAAAACATTTGGGTGTATTAAAGCTTCCATAGTCTATAACCATGCTGGTATTTTGACATAGCATTTATCTCTTACTTTCTCCCAAACCAATAACTATGCATTTCTTATATAGTGTCTATGAAAATATGTGTGTATCTTATTTCTACCATACCACAAAAAAGCATGCCATTCCAGTTGCAAGTCATAACCTTCCAATGTTAATAAACTTATATTTCTTAGCTCGACCCATTCCTTCAACCATGTCAGAGTCGCTGCCTGGTAATATAGTTCCCAATTTGGTAACCCAAATCCACTTCTCAATCTCGTATCCTGCATCATTCTTATGCTTATTCTTGCCTTTTTCCCTTGCCATATATATTTCCTTATTATCTTATTGAGATATCGAAAATAGGCCTTTTCAACTTTTATTGGCACAGTCTGAAATAGAAACAATAATCTTGGTGTATTCATCTTTATCAGTGCAATCCATCCCATGAGTGATAGTTGAAGATTCTTCCATTTTTCCAGATCTCTTTCAATTTGCTGTTTTAATTTATAATAATTATCTTCTTTTATTGTTACACATCTTGAAGTTAAATATACTCCAAGGTACTTAACTTTTTTCACTACTTGTATATTCAAATTTTCTTCTATCTCTCTTTTTTGTTTTTCTGTCATATTTTTAGCCAATTTTTTTGTTTTGTCTTTATTTATTTTCAAGCCGGAGACTTTCCAATAGTCTTCTATTTGTTCTAATAATTTAGGGCCTGTTATTTGCGCATCTTCTATAATAAATACCAAATCATCTGCAAAGGCCTGCAATTTATACTCTTCTTTTTTAACTTTTATCCCTTTTATCTCTTCATCTCGATGAGATGAAGTTCCCACAACTTCCAAAGGCAGCTTCTGTTCCATGGGTTGATTGTTCTCCCTGTCAGAAAATTCCTCCTTATTTCCAGGTTGAATCTCTCCTTGTTCAGTTTCCATCCATTCTTCCTTGTCTGGCCTTCGGGTGCTTTGGAAAAAATAGCTTGGCCCCCTTCCTCCTCTCTGTGGCAGCCCCTCAAATATTGGAAGATGCTATCCTGTCTCCCCTGGTCCTTCTCTTCCCTAGACCAGCCATGCCCAGTTCCTCCAACCGTTCATCATATGTTTTAGCCTCCAGTCCCCTCATCCTCCTGGTTGCTCTTCTCTGCACTTTTTCTAGAGTCTCCACATCTTTTTTATAGTGTGGGGACCAAAACTGGATGCAACATTTTAAGTGTGGTCTTAGTAAGGTTTTATAGAGTGGTATTAGTATCTCCCTTGATCTTGATTGTATCCCTCTGTTAATGCAATTTAGGATTGCATTGGCTTTTTTGGCTGCCACCGCACACTGCTAATTGCTATTAACAATTTCGGAATTGTCTCTAGTGGTTCTTCTACAATAAATACCACATTGTCTGCAAATGCTTGTAGTTTATATCTTTTCTCTCTTATCTCCGTTCCCTTGATTTCTAAATTTTGCAATTTTTCTTCTTTTTATGTTTTTCTTGCTTTTTATTGTTTCCTTATCTTTGCATTTGTAAACTTTAATGGCAAGGATTACTTTGAAAAAAGAAAGACAAAACAGAGGCCAAATTTTAATGTTCTGCTTTTATTTTTGTTGCAAAGCGTTGTCAGATTGTGTGTTTTAATCGTTATTTTTTCTGCTCCGGGACAGGCGCCTCCATCTCCGGATTCTGATTCGGCTGCTGACTCAGCGGTAGAAGATCAGCACGGCCGCATCCACAATGGTTTGTGAAGTGCTCCATCCACGGTGAGTCCCGTAGCCGTCCCAGTCAAAGGCGGCAAAATCACCACATTGACGGGGGTTTCCTTCCGCGAAAAAGCCCCCTCCTCCAATGCAGTGCTAAGGGAGGAAGACAGGGAGTTAAGCATCTTGTCTATTTCCTGACAGTGACAACAATTAATCAGTGCCTCCAGAAGCCTCCAAAAACTGAAGGTTTTCCGGATGAGACTGGACAGCCATTTGTCTGAAACGGTATAGATTCTCCTGCTCGAGCAGTGGGTTGGACTAGAGGACCTCCGAGGTCCCTTCTAACCCGAGGATTCTATGTTCTATGTTCTGAAATGCCACAGTATGCTGTGTGCATGGATGACAGGGTACAAAACTATCTCTCTCTCTCTCTCTCTCTCTCACACACACACACACACAAATCCAGCATTCTAGGAATTCGGAATTCTAGGAATGAAAAGCACAGCTCAAAAGGATGTATGTAAGTCCCTGGTTTACATGTGTGTCAAGCAGTGTGTCAAGAGTGAAAAACGTGGCAGCTATGTGCCTTTTTGTTTCATCTTGCCTTTAGAGTAAGGTAGGTGTGAGGGAGGTGTTGATTACGAATGGGTTAGTTAGAGAGTGATGCTGGTGAGGGGAGTCTGAGAGCTTTTCAAGGACATTTTAGCAGGTGTGAAGAAGAAGGCAGATGGTTCCCATAAGAAAGAAAAAGAAAACTTGTTTACGTGAGCTAAGTGGAAGTCTGGGGGGTTTGGCTGGGAAAATCATTGTTAAATATTATGTTCTGATGCCTTGGAATTGCAGAGTGAGTTTTACTTCGCCATTACCATGCCACGTATTCAAGAAACAGTAAGATTTTCAGAAATGAAATGATCCTGGACTTCTATTTGGATACTCAAGCAGGATGTGTTTTTCGGGAAGGCTGGGATATACTCACATGTTCTGAGTTGCACCTGGTGAGTTTAATGCCAGAGCAGAGAGCCAATGCTGCCTTTTCATTATTAAACGCCCGGAATTGAACGAAGCCAGAGACAAATTCAGCTGAGAAACAGAAGAGAGATATTAAATGTGGTTGGGAGGATTGTAATTATTTTCACAATCTTGGTTGATGACAGTTGACAATCTGGGACTTCAACTCCCAGCATTCCCCACAGCATGTTGGTGAGCTGAAGTCCACCCATCTTTAAACATAAAGGCTGGGAATTCTGGGAACTGAAGTTCACCTATCTTGAAGCAAACTGGCTGGGGAATTCTGGGAGTTAAAGTCCACCCCTCTTAAACAATGCTGGCTGGGGAATTCAGGGACTGAAGTCCCCCCTTCTTGAAGTGGTCAAGTTCGCAAAACCCTGTGCCATCCTCTTTCTATTGCTGTTTCCTAACAGCTGGACTTTTGAAGGGGTATGAAATGTCCCCCCAAGATAAGATACATCATTAGCCTAACCTTCTCAATCTGCTTTCTAAACCAACTAATCTTATTGCATTCTTTGACAAAGTGACAAAACTAGTGGACCAGAGGAATGCTGTCGATATAATTTACTTGGACTTCAGTAAAGCATTAGATAAAGTAGACCATAACCTCTATTCCAGAGGTCACCAACCTTTCGGACCCCAGGGACCACTAAATTCACAATTTTAAATCCTGCGGACCACTAATAAGATCTGCCTAATGACTGGCTGGGTGGGCATGGCTAGGTGGTCATGTGACTGGGTGGGCATGGTCAACACAATGTCACTCACGTTGAGGGGCACCTCACTGGCCTTTAATTGCCCCTCCCCTCCCAGCCCCTCCTCGCCTGCATGCCAAGGCTCCTTAGTGCCCCAACAGGAAGCAATTGTTGGAGCTAAGCAGCCACCAGGAGAAAGAATTGGCAAAACAGCTCAGTTCAGATTGGATCTGACCGAGAAGGGGACTCAGCAGAAGCACCTCACTGAGGACTAGAAGCATAAGCTTTCCAAGCAGAGGGGAGACCTGCGGGAGTGCAAGGCCAGGTACCGGCGCCTGGAGGCTCAGCAGGTTGAGATGGTCAGCCAGTTCCAGGCCATGATGCAGTCCCACTGGAACGAAGCCCTCTGGCTCTTCACCACCAGCGGCTCTTCCGTCCAGCCTTCGCCCAAAGCCCCGCACCAGGAGGCCGAAGCAGACCCCAAGTCAGAATTTCTGCCTCCCTCCGACCCACACAAGAAGACCCCGAAGGGGGAGACTCTCTGCAGCAACACAACCGTTCATTGCATGTATCCGGCTGAGGGGCCATAGTTTGAGGACCTCTGATGTAGTGCAATATAAAAATGCAAATAATTTTTCTGCGGACCACTAAAATTTTCTTGTGGACCACAGGGGTACACAGACCACCAGTTGGCGACTGCTATTCTACTCTCTACTCTACTCTACTCTACTCTACTCTACTCTACTCTACTCTACTCTACTCTACTCTACTCTATTCTATTCTATTCTATTCTATTCTATTCTGTTGATGTTCCAACAGGCGGGGCTAAACATATGAACATGTGAATGATTTTTTTAAATGTTATCTAATTCTGGGTTTTATTTAATTGACCAAACTAAGTAATAATTTTAATTAGCAATTTTATGATGTTTGTATGTCTATATTTTTCTTGACTGTACACCGCCTTGAGTCCTACAGGAGAAAGGCGGTATAGAAATAAAATAAATAAATAAATAAATAAATAAATAAATAAATAAATAATATATATAATAAATAAATATTCTATTCTATTCTATTCTATTCTATTCTATTCTATTCTATTCTATTCTATTCCATTACTAGATAAAATAGAAAAATGTGGGTTAGACCCACCACCAGATGGATTCGTAACTGTCTGACCAATCGCACTCAACGTGTAGTCCTCAATGGAACTGCATCTATACGGAGGGAGGTATCTTCAACATCTTCATCAATGATTTGGATGAGGGGATAGATGGGGAACTCATCAAATTTGCAGATGACACCAAGCTGGCAGGAATAGCCAACATTCCGGAAGATAGGCTCAAGATACGGAAGGATTTTGACAGACTTGAACATTGGGCGCTATCTAACAAAATAGCAATAGCAGTAGCACTTAGACTTATATACCGCTTCACAGTGCATTACAGTCATCTCTAAGCAGTTTTCAGAGTCAGCATATTGCCCCCAACAATCTGGGTCCTCATTTTATCCACCTCGGAAGGACGGAAGGCTGAGTCAACCTTGAGCCTGGTGAGATTTGAACTGCCAAATTGCAGGCAGCCAGCAGTCAGCAGATGTAGCCTGCAGTACTGCACTCTAACCACTGCACCACCGTGGTTGTGAAAATGAAATTCAATGGTGAAAAAAGCAAGATTCTACTTTTAGGGAAGAAAAACCAAATGCACAGGTACCGTAGATGTGGTCCCTTTCTCAATAGTGGTGACTGTGAGAGGGATCTTGGAGTCCTAGTGGACAACCATTTAGATAGGAGCCAGCCGTGTGCAGCAGCTGCCAAAAAAGCCAACACAGTTCTAGGCTGCATCAGATGGATAGAATGAAGATCCCTTGAAGTCTTAATACCACTTTACAAGGCCTTGGTTAGGCCACACTTGGAATATTGCATTCAGTTTTGGTCACCACGATGTAAAAAAGATGTGGAGACTCTAGAAAAGAGTGCAGAGAAGAGCAACCAAGATGATTAGGGAACTGGATATAACATATGAAGAAGGGTTGCAGGAACTGGGTATGTCTAGTTTAATGAAAAGAAGGACTAGGGAAGACATGATAGCAGTGTTTCCGATAGCTGAAGGGCTGCCACAAAGAAGAGGGGGTCAAGCTATTCTCCAAAGCACCTGAGGACAGGAGAAGAAGGAATGGATGGAAACTAATCAAGGAGAGAAGCAACTTAGAATTAAGGAGAAATTTCCTGACAGTTAGAACAATTAATAAGTGGAACAGCTTGCCTCCAGAAGTTGTGAATGCTCCAACACTGGAAGTTTTAAAGAAGAGATTGGAACTGGGCCACCAATTTTGGAAAGGAGCTCCTTCCTTTACCTTCCTCCTGGATCTTAGCTTCAAAAGAGGATGTCCTAGCCTAGGAGTCACAGGTGGTCCAACCCCCCATATTGTGGGGCAGCCCTCTAACCGAGGCAAGGATGCTTACCCCGTCCATTGGGAGAGTACAATTCTGAAGTCTTCTGGGCATCACCAACATCATAAACAATAGGGATAGCCGGGCCGTTATCATTTGGACAGCTACCAGCGCCATATTTCACCGGATATTTCTGGAAAACAAATCACAGTTGGATTATTTTCATGCATGACCGCTCCATCAGCAAAGCAGGCAGAAGATGAAGATGTTTTATGGTGTCCTTTTCAACCCGACTGTAGGACTCTGAGATGAACCGAGGTGCAGTCATCAAAATTGAATTTAATTCATGGTGACTTCTTGGACCCTGATGACCACTTGGTCCAACTAGACGTTTTCTGAGTGTCAAGATGGAGATAGTTGGCTTTGATCCTCTTTTGAGATGTCTTCTTCCCCTTCCTACTTCTAAGACACAGTTCTGGGATTCTGATGGTCTCTCAACCAACCACCAAAGCCTAAAGTTGCTACGAATTCAATCAATCAATCAATCAATCAATCAATCAATCAATCAATCAACCAATGCATATTTAGCATTTTAGGATCAGCCAGATCAGGTCCAAGAGACGGACGCAGTCATATTTGGTGAGTCAACAGGCAGAAAAGTCAGGTCAGTTGGACTCACCTCATAGAGCCGGAGAAGGTTACCCCCTAGGTCAGACAAGAAGCGTGTCTCGGTGTGGTATCTCAAGAAGGAAACATCCTGCCATTTCTTCATCGGGGTGTTGTTGGGAACATGCCATATGGCGATATCTTGGGCTCTAAGAGCGTAGTAGCCTGGGTTCTGGAAAAGAGGAGAGACGGTGGATGACACTGGAGGGAGCTTCAAGAGTCCCTTTCTAAGACCCTTTGAGGAACTCTGAAGGCTGAGACTCTGTAGAAAGACACATTGATATGACACAACACCTGGAGAAGGACTGTCACCTGTCCCCTTCATCTGCTTTTCTTCATGGATGTAAAGATTACAGGTGAGAGGGTTGACTTTAGCAACACTCCATAAGGGTGACCTCTTCCCTTCCCCCATTGACTAGAAACATCTCTTGAAGCATTAATAAAAGAGGGTCAAGCTTGTTCTGCCTTCTGGTGCTCCAACGCACCCGAAGGCAGGACAAGAAGCAACAGATGGAAACTGGTCCAGGAGAGAAACAACCTAAAACTAAGGAGAAATTTCTTGCCAGGGAGAACAATTAATTGGTGTAACAGCTTCCTTCCAGAAGTTGTGGGAGCTCCATCACTGGAGGTTTTTAGAAGTGACTGGACATCCACTTGTCTGGAATGGTCTAGGGTCTCCTGCTTGAGCAAGGGGTTGGACTAGAAGACTAGAAGACTTCCAAGGTCCCTTCCAACTGTGTTAAGTTTATGAAGTAAGGCACACCCCAGAAATACAACTTAATTGTTGTTGCATAAGTCTACAGCCACGTGTGTCCAATTGAACACGAGTCAGGACATTCTATGCCCAAACTGGCCTCTCCAGTCATCTTCAGACTTACCACATTTAGGTTCAAGGGGACCACAGATGTTGAGGTCTACATCAATGACACTGGATGGACAACATCTGCTGTTTTTTGCACCAAGTATTAGACACTATTCCCAACGCTGCCTATTGCTACCATCTCTTTGAGACTGAGTTTGGCCTGTGGCTAAAAAAGTTTGCTTTGCTTTCCTCTCCCTTGAAATGCCGGAAACGGCATTGGTCGCGTTGGTTGATGATCTCTGGAGGGCTCGGGACAGGGGGTGCTCCTCTGTCCTGGTCCTGTTAGACCTCTCAGCGGCTTTTGATACCATCGACCATGGTATCATGCTGCACCGGTTAGAAGGGTTAGGGGTGGGGGGCACTGTACTACGGTGGTTCTCCTCCTTTCTCTCTGGCCAGTCGCAGTCTGTGTTGACAGGGGGACAGAGGTTGACCCCTAGGCCCCTCATATGTGGGGTGCCACAAGGGTCAGTCCTCTCGCCCCTTTTGTTCAACATTTATGTAAAGCCGCTGGGCGAGATCATCCGTGGTTTCGGGGTGAAGTACCACCAGTACGCTGATGACACCCAGCTGTACATCTCCACCCCGGACCACCCCAACGATGCCCTTGAAGTGATGTCTCGGTGTCTGGAGGCCGTGCGGATCTGGATGGGGAGGAACAGGCTCAGGCTCAACCCATCCAAGACCGAGTGGCTGTGGTTTCCGACGTCCCGATATAGTCAGTTGACGCCATCGCTGACTATTGGGGGCGAATCGCTGGCCCCCACGGAGAGGGCTTGCAACTTGGGCGTCCTCCTGGACTTACGGCTGTCTTTAGAAGAGCATTTGACGGCCGAGACTGGGAGGATTTTTCATCAGGTTCACCTGAGTCGCCAGTTGCGTCCCTTTCTGGATCGGGACTCCCTACACACAGTCACTCATGCCCTCGTTACTCCCGCCTGGACTATTGTAACTCTCTCTACATGGGGCTCCCCTTGAGGAGCACCCGGAGGCTCCAATTGGCGCAGAGTGTGGCCGCGCGGGTGGCTATGGGAGCAACATGGCGCTCCCGTGTGACACCTCTCCTGCGCGAGCTGCACTGGCTCCCGGTGGTCTTCCGGGTGCGCTTCAAGGTTCTGGTTACCACCTTTAGAGCGCTCCATGGCTTAAGACCTGGCTACTTACGGGACCGCCTACTACCACAAACAGCCTCCCACCGGCCGGTACGCTCTCACAGAGAGGGGCTCCTCCAGGTGCCGTCAGCCAAACAATGTCGACTGGCGGCCCCTAGGGGGAGGGCCTTCTCTGTGGGGGCACCTACTATCTGGAACGAGCTCCCCCCGGAGATACGGAGGATCCCGGATCTGCGCACTTTCCACCGTGCTTTGAAGACACTCCTATTCCAGCAGGCCGGCCTGGCCTAATTTTCTCCCCTTCTTTTAAATTTTTAAACTGAAATTTTAATTCGTTTTAAATTATTGGGAGTTTTAAATTGTCTCGGGCAAAAATCATTTAATTGGGTTTTAATCATGTTTTAACTTTTGTATTTATGTGTTTTATTTTGTGCCTGTTCACCGCCCTGAATCCTTCGGGAGTAGGGCGGTATACAAATTTAATAAAATGAAAAATGAAATGAAATAAAATGAGTTCCGCCTACCTTGTAGTCATCGCTCGTGGCTGCTATGGCGGATCCAAAGGTGTTGTTGTTGGCCCAGTTTCCATCTCCGTAGGGGTAGTTGGGATTGTTGCCTTGCTGGCTGGACCAGCGATCGCCAACGGTGCATTTCCCAAAGATGTTGTTCTCATGGACACTGGCCACCAGCGTCCAGCCGCCTCTGTTGGTGGACATGTCGCAGAAGGTCTGGTAGATCTCACCATCTTCACTCCTCAGGATATACAGTCCATCTGCCACACAGCAGATATAGATATATATATACTGTACATTTGTGATCAATGGTTGATATTTCAAAATGCCACCCTCCTCCTCCTCTTCCTCCTCCTCTTCCTCCTCCTCTTCCTCCTCCTCTCCGCAACCCCCCTTCCCTTCTAGCACTGAGGATGTTACCTGGTTGGATAATGAAACATCTGGGGGCTGAAAAGAAGCTCAGAGAGCACCAAGGACCCCACAGTCTTCTTCCTCGCCCCTCCTCCTCCTCTTCTTCTTCTTCCTTCCTCCTCCCTTCCTCCTCTTCCTCTCCTTCCTTCTCCTCCTTGCCCTCCCCTTCTTCATTTGTCCTCTTCCTCATTTCTTCCTTCTCCTCTTCCTCCTCCTCTCCTTCTCTCCTTCGTTTTTCCTCCTCCTTCTTTCTTCCTCTTCCGCCTCCTCCTCTCCTTCCCTCTTCCTCCTTCTTCTTTCCTCCTTCTTTCTTCCTCTTCCCCCTCCTTTCCTTCTCTCCTTTCCTCCTCCTTTCTTCTTCCTCCATTTGTCCTCCTCCTCTTCCTTCTTTCTTCTTTTTTAAATAATTTATACATATCATTGTGTGAATGGCACGATGTTTGAGTATTATACATCTCAATACATATAAACATATTCCTAATGATTACATTCCATTTTCCTTATTTCATATTATTTACTCCTACCTTTTACACAAAATTTTAATTTTCATATAAATATTAGCTAGTATTCAATAATATCTAAACTGATGTGCTTTAGCATAGTTTCAAATAGTATAACTCTCAAGAAAAAAAAACCACGAAATTGTCCGTCTGTTTTCTTTTCTCCTGTACACCATATTTCACCCATTTTTACAACATCCCTCTCCTTTCCTCTTCTTTCTCCTCCCTCTCTTCTCTCCTCCCCTCTCCTTCTCTCTCCTTCCCTTCTTCCTTCTCCTCTCCTTTCCTCTCCTTCCCTTTCTCCTTCTCTCCTTCTCCTGTCCCCTCTCTATTTCCCCTCTCTCTTCTTCTCCTTCCCTTTCTACTCTTCTCCTCCCCTCTCTCCTTTTCCCTCTCTACCCTTACTCTTTCTCCCCTCCTCTCCTACTCCTTTCCACTCCCCTCTATTTCCCTCTCTCTTTTCGTTGTTGCATATAATATTCCCAATACCTATAGAATATGGTGTATTTTCCAATTAATATCTCTTTCAACTATAATCATACAGCTTCTTTAAATTGCATTCAAAAATCAAAGAAACAGACTTAATCACTTACACATATATTGCTAATAATAATAATCATAATTATACTATCATCACAATATTAATTAATCTTCATGTTAATAATTTTATACACATCATCATTCTAGTCACATATATATATATTCTTTTTATACTAACATCACTTCATTAATCAAACAGCATACCATCTAAATATCAATTTCTTACATCCTCACATTTCACGCTTACTACTATTTTCATTCTTTGTGTCTATTTTTCATATTTCTTTCCCTAACTTATTTAACTTTGTGATACATTGCTTTACACCCTTCTATTCTAAACTTTCATTAATGTTTTTCTTTTCCCCCCTTCCATATTATTATATTCAAAGACATGATACTCTGTTTTATCATTCATATTCCCATTCTCTAACTCTTCCTTTCTATATATTTTAAAATTTATTTAATACACATAGATATATCTACTTTCACTTTACCTACATGAGTCATATTTTATCCACTTTTAATAATACTATAATTCAACCATATCATTCTAATATTAATACAATTATTACCATATAATCCTGACATATCTTTAACTCTTTTTCTCCCCTTAACCATTATCTCTTACCCACATCCCTTCCTTTAATCCTACCTTTTTAAAACTTGTTTCCCCTCTTTTCCTCTTAAGTCTTTCATTCCATCTACTTCGAGCTTTATATTCTGAATCCATAATTTAATTTTTCCTCCTTGCCCTGTCTTTCCCCACTGTTTAATTTGAGAGCTTTCTATTCTAAATCCTATCATTTCCCCCCAAGCCTCTTCTTGTCCCTCCCATTTCTTTTTTTAAATCTTTTAAAGTGTTTCCCCCCTGTTTTAATTCCTCAATTCTTATTCATTTTAATCGTGTCTCCTCCTTGCTATCTTCTGTTTGCTGGTTTCTCAGTTCTAATTCTCCTTCTATTCCAGTTGATAATTCCATTTTTTCCTTCTTGTCCTGATCCTTACTCTTCATCTCTTGTATACAATTTTCCAGTCTTCTATCTATACGGTCCAATATTTTCACCATGTCTTTGTGCAGTTCCAGGATAAGGTCCTTAATGTCTTTGTTATTTTGAGTTATTAACTCCATTTTGTTTAAGTCTCCTCAATCATCCATTCAGAAACCAGACCTCCTAATCAAGTTTAAATGTCTCATCAATGTCTAATCAAATCAGTTAGTTACTTCAGGGATCATCCACTCCTCAAGTCATTTTTGTATATTCAATAGTATTTAGGGGTCCAGACACCAATTCTTTTTCTTTTAATTTTTCTTTTCTTTTATTTATTTTATTTTAAATTTATATACCGCCCTTCTCCCTGAGGACTCAGGGCGGTATACAGCCAGAATTAAAAAACATGAAATACAAATATTAAAAACAATTAAAATATATATAAATTTGGCACAAAATTAAAAATACAAACCAATTAAAACATTTAAGATTTCTTCTTAAGCCAGCCCGGCTTGCTGGAAAAAGTGGGTTTTAAGGGCACGGCGGAAGGCGCTGAGGTCTTCGATTCTCCTTATCTCTGGAGGCAATTGATTCCAGAGGGTAGGTGCCCCCACAGAGAAGGCCCTCCCCCTGGGGGTCACCAGCCTGCATTGATTGGCTGATGGCACCCTGAGGAGGCCCTCTCTGTGGGAGCGCACGGGACGATGGGAGGTCGTTGGTAGCAGCAGGCGGTCTCGAAGATAGCTAGGCCTGATGCCATGGAGCGCTTTAAAGGTGATAACCAGCACCTTGAAGCGCACCCGGAAGACCACTGGGAGCCAGTGCAGCTCGCGCAGGAGCGGTGTTACATGGGAGCGCCATGCTGCTCCCATCACTACCCGCGCTGCTGCATTCTGGACCAGTTGGAGCCTCCGGGTGCTCTTCAAGGGGAGCCCCATGTAGAGAGCGTTGCAGTAGTCTCCAGTGGTTAGAAAGAAAATATACATCGTTCAACAGTTATTTCCCTCCATTTCAATATTTGCTCTCGAGTCACAAAAATTTACTATCATCAGCAGATGGCGTCTTTACTTCACTTTGCTTCCTCTGCTTTTGTTGTGACTCCTGCTCCTATTTTACTTTTATTTTGACACACCCAGTTTATTTCTCTTGCTTAGTTTATCTTATAGCTCGGTTGTTTCAAGAAAAGGTAGGTTTATAGTTCCAGCATTTTAATATGCCTTCTTAATATCATGCCTTTTATTTGGGGGATTCCATTATCCACTTAATTTTCTTTTTAAACAGATACTTACTTCTTTAAATTTCCAATATGCTTTTTTTCACACAATAGTTGCATGCCGCTGTAGTAAATAGTTCTAAAAGGTATTCCCCTTACATTTTTTGTGGGGTCCAACTTCAGCTTCACTTTTCTTATCCAGACGACCATTCAGCATTTCTTTACTCCTGCACAAACTTATGGTTCTGGCTGTTCCCCGGCTTCATGGCAGCCATTTTGACTGCCACTGCTTTTAGTCTTCGAATGAGGGGTTTTTTTGAGTCAGGGAGGGGAGATGTGGCTCCCCTTGACTTGCAAGGCAGTCCCCCTTTGCTTCACCACCCCTCCAAGGTGGCTATGGCTTCTAGGGAAGCCCCTGACAGGGAGAGCTCGGAACAGATCCACAGAGGTCGCAGATCTCGCACCGAAGACACCGGAAGTTCAACCGGAAGCTCCCCAGAATAACAGAACAGAATAACCAGGTTGGAAGGGACCTTGGAGGTCTTCTAGTCCAACCCTTGCTCAAGCAGGAGAACCTATACTATGTCAGACAAGTGACTGTCCAGTCACTTCTTAAAAGCCTCCAGTGATGAAGCACCCATAGCTTCTGGTGGCAAGCTGTTCCACTGATTAATTGTTCTCACTGTTAGGAAGTTTCTCCTTAATTCCAGGCTGCTTCCCTCTTTGATTATTTTCCAACCATTCTTCCTTGTCTGACTTTTAGGGGGCTTTGGAAAACAGCTTCACCCCCTCCTCTCTGTGGCAGCCCTTCAAATACTGGAAGATGCTCTCCTGTCTCCCCTGGTCCTTCTCTTCACTAGACTAGCCAGGCCCAGTTCCTGCAACCGTTCATTGTATGTTTTAGCCTCCAGTCCCCTCATCATCCTGGTTGCTCTTCTCTGCACTCTTTCTAGAGTCTCAACCTCTTTTTTATAGTGTGGTGACCAAAACTGAATGCAGGATTCTAGGCGTGGTCTTATTAAGGCTTTATTTATTTATTAATCATATTTCTATGCCGCCCACTCTCTGAGGACTCTGGGCGGCTTACAACAATCGACAGTATACTAAATAGCATATTCCCCCCCAACAATCTGGGTCCTCATTTGACCCACCTCGGAAGGATGGAAGCCTGAGTCAATCTTGAGCCGGTGAGATTTGATCCGCTGATCTGCTGAACTAGCAGTCAACTGAAGTAGCTGCAGTACAGCACTCTAACCACTGCACCACCTCGGCTCAAAGGATAAAGCGGTACTAATACTACCCTGGTCAATACAGATTGACTACGGCAGGGATGTCCATTGTGTGTTTGTGTGTGTGTCATAAAGTCAAAACGGCAACCACGACCATGAAGTCGAAGCCCCCTCCTCTCTTTTCCATGCCTCCCAATGCCCATCAAGTCAAGGTTGGCCTCCAATCCTCTATTTGTGGACAACATTTTGACTTTTTTGCCGCTCTCTTGCAAACTCTGTTGCACTGGGGTGGAAACCGGAGGGAGGGAGGGAGACCCATTTATCGCAAAGGAGTTTATGATGGACTGAAATTACCCAGAAACGGAGAGATTTGATGGGGATGAAGCGGCCTCTTTGCTCACCTGAAGACTCTGGCAGGGCAGCCTTGATTTCCTTGCAACTCCCGTACAGCTTCTGGGGATGGCCTGGCTGGGAGGGATGGCAGGAAGACCCCGTTTCCCATTTCATCAGCAGGTCCAGCAGGTCTTCCTTGGCTGTGGTGACGCAACTGCCGCCGGCTGTCGAGACAACATGCAACAAAGCGTAAACTCAACGAAAAAGCCAGAAGGATGTTTTGTACCCATTGGGCCCTGGGCATGACTTCTATTTCTGTTTACTGGGCCTGAGTCTGGGCGGCTGATAATATTAAAAAGATAAAACTGCAGGTAGTAGAATAGAAGGAATGAGCTGGAAGGGTCCTTGGAGGTCTTCTAGTCCAACCCCTGGCTCAAGCAGGAGACCCTATACTATTTCAGCCGAGTGACTGTCCAGTCTCCTCTTAAAAAACTCCAATGATGGAGCATCCATGTCTTCTGGTGGCAAGCTGTTCCACTGGTTAATTGTCCTCACTGTTAGGAAGTTTCTCCTTAATTCCAGGCTGCTTCTCTCCTTGGTTAGTTTCCATTAGTAGTCCTCGACTTACGACCAGCACGGAGCCCAACATTTCTGTTGCTAAGTGAGACGGTGGTGGTGAGTTTTGACCAGTGATGAAATGTAAAATTTGTTACTACCAATTCTGTGGGCGTGGCTTGGTGGTGGTGGGGGTAATGTGACTGGGTGGGCGTGGCCATTTTTTTTTTTTTACTTTTAAAAGCATTTTTTCGGCCAAAGAGGTTGTAGAAAAAATGCTTTTAAAAGGCTCCGACGATCCCAGCTGAGTTGCCTGATCGGCAGAGACTTTTTTTCTTTTAAATGCCTCTGACGATCCCAGCTGAGCCGCTCAATCATCAGAGGCTTTTTTTTTTAACTTTTAAAAGCATTTTTTCGGCCGAAGAGGTTGTAGGAAAAATGCTTTTAAAAGTAAAAAAAACAGCCTCTGCTGATCATGTGACTCAGCTGAGCATGGGGGGGGGGCAGGGATTTTTGCTACCGGTTCTCCGAACCACCCGCCTCCATCGCTACCGGATCGGGCAATCCGATCTGAACTGGGAGCATTTCACCCCTGGTTTTGACCCATTTTACGGCTTTTCTTGCTAAGTTGCTAAGTGAATCATGGCAGACGTTAAGCTAGTAACATGGTTGTTAAATGAATCTGGCTCCCCCACTTGTCAGATGACCCCGGGACACTTGCAACTGTCATAAGTACATGCCAGTTGCAAAGCCTCTGAATTTTGATCATGTGACCATGGGGATGCTATAAAGGTCGTAAGTGTGAAAAACGGTCGTAACATCACTTCGAACAGTCACTAAAAAACTGTTGTAAGTCAAGGCATGCTTTGAACATTTGGGGAGAACCAAACTATTAATTTTTAGAATTAAATACAGATAGTCCTAGCTGCATTTAAGGGTACTATCCTGTGGTTTTCTTTATATTTATCTTTTAACGGCTGAATGGTTTTTAAGATTTTATTTTTTTAACTTTCAGCTGTCTCCTTGTGTACCACCCAAAGTCCCATTTGGCAGCCGTAGATAGATAAATAAATTTGGGTTTTTTTCTGTCGCATTTCTCCTAATCCTTCTGTCTCCGTTTGTCCTTTTCCTGAAAATATTTTGTGCCAGCTGTTTTACCCAGGGAGATGTTTCCTGGTAGGGCATGAGGGCGTCTCACGTTTTTCAGCTTTCGATTTCCAAAGATTAGGCTCTAATATCGGGACATGCGTTGGGGATTGTAAAGATATTTTGATTACTTTCATATAATTTAGATGTGCTTGGTAAGTTGCTTGGTAAATATCATAACTTTTCAGGCCAGCAGTTCCCCAGAACCATCAAAGGAGAACCTTGTTCTGTCTGCAGTGAGCCTGGTGGAAGATATATATTTTTTAATCATTTCCCTCCAGAGAAAGGCTCGGAAACAGGGAAACCTGCTCAAGGGATGGCAGGTAATCAGGTGCATTTCAGGAAGAAGGAGAAGAAAGGCAGTGAGAAAAGCTTGAAGGCCTTTGGAGGAGGTTCTGCAAAGGTTAATTAATACTGGTCATCCCTGGAGGTTTTTAAGAGGAGACTGGAGAGTCACTCGTCTGAAATGGTATCGGTCGGATCTCCTGCTTGAGCAGGGGGCTGGACTAGAAGACCTCCAAGGTCCCTTCCAGCTTCTATTCTATTCTATTCTATTCTATTCTATTCTATTCTATTCTATTCTATTCTATTCTATTCTATTCTATTCTATTCTATTCTATTCTATTATGTTTCTATTCTATTCTATTCTATTCTATTCTATTCTATTCTATTCTATTCTATTTATTCTATTCTACTCTACTCTACTCTACTCCACTCCACTCCACTCCACTCCACTCCACTCCATTCCATTCCCTTCATTATGTTTATATACATTCTATTCTATTCTTCTATTCTATTCTATTCTATTCTATTCTATTCTATTCTATTCTATTCTATTCTATTCTACTCTACTCTACTCTACTCTACTCTACTCTACTCTACTCTACTCTACTCTACTCTATTATCTATTCTATTCTTCTATTCCATTCCACTCCACTCCACTCCAACTACCAGCTGTGAAGGTGGTGCCATGCAGTGGGTAGAGGTCCAGCCAGACCATCCACTGTGCTGGAGCGGATTGCCTGGTCTGAAGGTGTATGTGGGCCACCTTTGACCTGCAAACTGACTACAGCGAAAATAAAGATGTTCCTTGAGGAACCAGTGCAAGGAGAACCAGAGTAGCCCAGTCATGCCCAGTCCATAGAGGGAGTGGGAAGCGGGTCAAAGAGGCAGCCAGCAGAGTGTGGACACAGGAGAAACGTGAGGGTGATATCAAGAGGCCAAGAATCAAGTCAGCGTCTGACGTTGAAGAACGAACAAGACTGGGTGAAACTGGCTTGAACATTTTTGTAACTCAGATCATTGCTTTCTGAGGCTAGTTTAGGATTGCATGGATTATTTTCTTGCTGAGCTAGATAAGATTCATGCAGAAAAACACTTTCATTTGTGTTAGCGCGAGGTGTAATTTTGAGAAGGTAAAGCTAACAGCATTTGTGGGGCATGTGATCAGTCGTGGATTTACCACACCAGGCTAAGCGTTGTGCAATTGCAAAAATAACAGCAGATTTGAATTCCTGGTGTAAAAACACATATTTTTAGAAACCCTGGCTGAAAAAAAAAAATTGCAAAAATTAATTTTCAGCCCGTTAAATGACACGCCCTGGCTGTGGCATCTCTTCAATTATTTGTACTTCTTGCCAAACCTTCTGTCGATGCCACCAAAACGTCCTTGGCCCCTTTGTAGGCAAATCCTGTCCCTCAGCTCAATCTGTACTCAACCGCCATTCAAGACGTTGCTACAGGTAGTCCTCGACCTACAACCACTCATTTACAACACCACTGAAAAAGTTACAACACCACTGAAAAAGGGACTTCTGACTGTTTTTCACACTTACGACTGTTGTAGCTTCCCCTTGGTCACGTGATCAAAAAACCGGATGCTTGGCAACTGACTCGTATTTATGACGGTTGCAGTGTCCCAGAGTCACGTGATTCGTTTTTGTGACCTTCTGACAAGGAAAGCCAGACTCACTTAATGACCATGTGATTCAACACTCAACAGCTGTGGCAAAAAAGGTCATAAAATGGGTGGGACTCCCTTACTTTGTTTAGCAAGGGAAATTCTGGCCCCAGAACTGTGGTTGTAACTTGAGGACTACCTCTTTTGTGCATTTTTCAGAATTCTGCATTTTGCATATCAAGATAATATTCTGATCCATTTTCTCCTTATCCTGCCCAGGGACACTACGGAATTCCCGCTTTCTGTGCTGAATTTGCCCTGCGATATAAGCCAATGCTGAGTATTGATGAAAACAGTTCTTTTAATTACGGTATGTATTATTATTTTAATATTGATGAAAGAATTTATAGAAAGTGTGCAGAGAAGAACACAAAGATGATTAGGGGACTGGAGCAGTGGTGAAATCCAATTTTTTTTACTATTGGTTCTGTGGATGTGGCTTGGTGGGCGTGGCAGGGGAAGGATACTACAAAATCCCCATTCCCTGCCCACTCCTGGGGGAAGGATATTGCAAAATCTCCATTCCCACCCCACTCCAGTGGAAGGATACTGCAAAATCCCCATTCCCTCCCCACTCTTGGGGGAAGGATACTGCAAAATCCCCATTCCCTCCCTACTTCTGGGGGAAAGGTATTGCAAAATCCCCATTCCCACCCCACTCTGGGGCCAACCAGAGGTGGTATTTGCTGGTTCTCCAAACTACTCAAAATTTCTGCTACCGGTTCTCCAGAACCTGTCAGAACCTGCTGGATTTCATCTCTGGACTGGAGGCTAAAATGTATGATGAACGGTTGCAGGAATTGGGGTATGTCTAGTTCAGGGGTCGGCAACCCACGGTTCCAGAGCCACAAGTGGCTCTTTGGGCCCTCTCCCGCGGCTCCCTGTCCCATCACTGGTTCGCCACACCCCTCTTATTTCTTTTTTGGACTCCAGCCCAAAGCGGCAGGAAGCGAAGGCTGCTTTACGTGCAAATGTGGCCTGAAGGCAGGTACAGGGCAACTTTGCTCCTGCACTCTCCTCCCCGCCTCCTCCTCTCATAAACCCCTGGCTTGCTGTGTCTGAGTTGGGAGTGCGCATGCTTGGAGAGGCCCTCCTTAATCGAGGCGCTGCCTGCTCCGAGCACACCTTTCCTGAGCTTTGGTGCTCACATGAGGAGGGTCTCCCCGCCTGTGCATAGCTCCTGACTCAGCCACAGCCATCCTGGGCGTCCTGAGAGGAGGAGGGGGAAGAGGGTCACCAGAGAATGCAGGACCAAAGCTGTCCTGTACCTTCGCGCCACATTTGGCACATACTGAGCCTGAGTGGCGTAGGAGGCTAATACCTCCTACTAAGGCAGCATTTAACATCCAGCTGCCTGCAATTACTGCGAGTTCAATTCTCACCAGGCTCAAGGTCGACTCAGCCTTCCATCCTTTCTAAGGTGGGTAAATTGAGGACCTGGTTTATGGGGACAATAAGTTGACTTTGTATAAATATACAAAAGTATGAAGGCTATTGCTTAATGCATTGTAAGCCGCCCTGAGTCTCCGGAGAAGGGCGGCATATAAAAATAAATTAAAAAATAAAATAAAATAAAAATTTGCACATAAGGCAGCCTTCACTTCCTCCCACTTCAGGATGGAGTCTCCCTGCATGTGCGAACGCTCCCGGCTCAGCCACAGCCAGCCAGGGGAGTTACAAGAGGAGGGGGGGAGGAGGAGGAAGATGGCCGCCCGAAGGGAAGGGGGAGACACACACACACACACAAAAGAGAGAGAGAGAGAGACATAGAGAGAAACACACACAGTGATACACAGAGAGGGGGTGAGAGAGGGGGAGAGAGACATGGAGAATAGTTTTGTGGCTGGGTAGGCGTGGCTAGGTGGGAGTGAGTGTTGTGGCCCGCCAGCGGCCTGCACGGATTGTTGCTGATCCCGACGACGAGGAGGCTGGTGTGGTGCCGCGCCAGCAGCCTGTACAGCTGGTGCTTGAGTTGGACAGCAAGGAGGCTGCAAAAGATGTGGTGCCAGAGGCGGGGATTCCGCCAGGGCCTTCAGAACCTCCAGAGGCTCCTTTAAGTGAAGAGGATGAAGAGGAGGAGCCTCTTCTCAATGCTTGAGCACGCAGGGCTGCCAAAAGGCAGGAGTGGTTCCTCAGGAGGAGGTCTCCTCGAGAGTAAGGCTTGGGGCTAATTGGCCACGCCCTTAGCCTATTTAAGAAAGAACGCAGCTTGCAACAAGCTGCAGGAAACAACTTTAGTTCGCTAATCATCGCGTTGGGATTTCTCTGCAACCTTGTTTCGGGCTTTCTGCCAACTCCAGTAAGACTCTGACTATCTTATCTGTGGAATTCTGGCAGGCTGTTAAGAACGCTTATTAACAGCCGGCATTTGCTAAAACGGCATTATTTGAGTAAACTAAGTTTTGTTCAGAGTTTGTGTGTGCTGTGTTCTTTGGGATCCATAGCTGGGGCAGAACAATGAGTGACATTGAGTTGGCCACGCCCACCCAGGTTTTGTGGCTCCTGGTGTGTTTTTTTTTCTGTAGGAAACGGGTCCAAGTAGCTCTTTGAGTGTTTAAGGTTGCCAACCCCTGTCTAATTTAGTGAAAAGAAGGACTAAGGGATCTGAGGCGCAGCCGCACAGCCCTAAAAAGGGAACATTTTGAAGCCTTCCGAATCTGCAAAGGTAAGTAGAACAGCGAGTGGGAGGGGAATCCGCTGTGCCACGTGATTTAGATTAGCTAGAAAGCAGGAAATCCAAGAATTCTGGCTAATATAAATTGCACGTCACAGCTGATTGTCGCCCAGCTGATTGTTGGAAATACCTGTTCGCCTGAACCGGTAACATTTTTTACTACCGGTTCCCCCGAACTGCTCTGAACCGGTAGCATTTCACCCCTGGTGGAAACTAACCAAGGAGAGAAGCAACCTGGAACTAAGGAAAATTTCCTGACAGTGGAAAGGCTTCCCTTCAGAAGTTGTGGGTGCTCCATCACTGAAGGTTTTCAAGAAGAGACTGGACAGCCATGTGTCCATGATGTTTTAAGGTCTCTTGCCTTGGGTAGGGGGTTAGACTAGAAGACCTCCAAGCTCCCTTCCAGCCCCAGGATTCAGGGATTCTTTGAGAAGCCACTTTCCCACAAATCCACCGGTTACTCACTCACCTGCAGGTTGTGCTTTTGCAAAGGCAGCCCAGGCCAGCAACAGAAGAGCCAATGACTTCATTGTGGAGGAGCTCTAGAGAAAAATGTGAATTAATCTGTGAATTAAAAGCAGAGATGGGGCCCTTTAAGAATCTGTGCAAAGGTGCAATTGCCCAAGAAGATGCTACTGGCACTGTTTGATTGTCGTTGTGAAGCACACTTTGTGTCTAATCCACCTTCTTGCCAATTTCCAGCAATAGAGTCTCATTGTTTTCCCATTTTTGATGCAGGTGCCAAGACCCAGACTTCAACAAACAGGAGTAATTGTTTTAAATGGTTTTAAACTGTGAAATCCATCTTTCAGATTAGATGGGGGATTGGGCGTGAATGATTTTGCCACAGGAGTTCTGAGAAAAATATTAAATCAATTCTGGCAAATTACCGAAAGTTTTATTTGATTTGGCAGACAATTTGAAACACAGTTGAAACACGGAAACAGAAAAATTGCGGTTCAAAATTGCAATTGATACCTACTTTCCTGAAGAACAGATTTTTTTTTTTTAATGAATAAACAGGATTTAAATCTCAAAGTACTTGGCTACTCAGCTTTTTAAGGTAGATTTACTTCCCAAGGTATTTTTGGAGCATAATCCTGTGAGGTTGGCTTATAAAAGGAAACCGTATTCTTTTAGACGGACAGTTAAAGCAATCAACCCATGGAACAGAAGCTGCCTTCGGAAGTTGTGGGAGCTTCATCCCTGGAAGCTTTCAAGAAGAGACTGGACTGCCATCTGTCAGAAATGGTGTAGGTTCTCCTGCTTGGGCAGGAGGTTGGACTAGATGACCTCCCAGGTCCCTTCCGACTCTGTTAATCTGTTGGATCGGGAGTCTCCAAACTTGGCATCCTTAAGACTTGTGCATGCTAGCTGGGGAATTCTGGGAGTTGAAGTCCCCAAGTCTTACAGTTGCAAGTTTGAAGACTGCTGTTGTAGATGGAGACTTTGGGAAATGTTGCCACAAAAAAGAAGCAACAGCAGAGGATTTTAAAAGGCAATGAAAAGATGTTTGGGGGGACATAATTTAGGTAAGGCACTGAGTTAAGACTGGTTTGGGAAGTCTTAAAGTAAACCCAGAATGTTATACGGTCGTCTGCTTGAGCAGAGGGCTGGACTAGAAGTCCCTTCCGAGCCTGTTATCCTATGTGCTTTATTAGAGGTGAATTTTATATGACATACTAGTGAACTCTAAAAAGAAGAGCCTGGACTGCCATCTGTCAGAAATGGTGTAGGGTCTCCTGCTTGGGCAGGGGGGGGTTGGACTAGATGGCCTCCAAGGTCCCTTCCAACTCTGTTCATCTGTACAATCTGTAAGAAGAGTCGAAAGCAAGAGCTTCCTAGACAGTTTGACAGCAGATCCAGGGACATAGAGCCTCCTTCATTGGATGGGAAGCAGAGGCACGAGGGGTTGGTCTAGGTGACCTCAAGGATCTTTCCATCTCTGTAATTCTATGCCTGCATTCTTACCACTTGCTTAATCTGAGGAATGAACTCCGCTCAGTTCTGGAATTTACAATGCAACTAACCAATCCTCACTGTGTGTTAGATCAGGAAAAAAAAAAACCCTTAATGATGGTTAATATTGTAATAAATAAGAAACTTAATATTGATTATATTGATTGATAAGAAACTTAATAATATGAATGCTGGGCTTCAACTGATCTTTGGCTCTTGGGTTGAGCCGCGTGTTGTGAGAACGCAGCTACGATCCCCATTGAACAAATGTCTCAATTTTTCTACTACCGTAAATAAAAAAGGCACACTTTAAGTATTGTGCGTTGCAGAATGCATGCTTGTTCCTGGGTTTTCCATCTGCACCCCAACAATGGACCCCCATTCTCCTTTCTAGCAAATTTTGGACTTACCTGATGGATCTGGAGCGTTTCTTTGATGCTTCTTTGATAAATCCCCTGAGCACAGGTTGGTCTTACCTGGATGGGGAAGATCGCTTCGGCTGAAGAAACAGGAAGCTCAAATCAGCCTGGTCTTCTCGCTCGCTCGACTTTATTAAGCAGCTGGATTGCGAAATTCACCCTCCCATCAGGACAAGGAAGTGAAAAGCAGGAAACCCTGAAATGAAGAGGGGCTGTTTGCACACAGGAGGTGAAAGGGTTTCAAGCAACAGGGTTGGCCAGTACAGAAGTCGACAAATAAGATAATCCTGGTTCTCTCTGGGCTTGGTGGTTTCCTTGTAGATGTTATATCACCTGATTATAACAGATTAACAGAGTTGGAAGGGACCCTGTAGGTCATCTAGTCCAACCCCCTGCCTAAGCAGGAGACCCTACACCACTTCTGACAGATGGCAGCCGAGTCTCTTCTTGAAAGCCTCCAGGGATGAAGCTCCCACAACTTCTGAAGGCAACTTCTGTTCCATGTTCTCACTGTCAGAAAATTCCTCCTTATTTCCAGGTTGAATCTCTCGTTGGTCAGTTTCCATCCATTCTTCCTTCTCTGGCCTTTGGGTGCCTTGGAGAATAGCTTGACCCCCTTCCTCCTCTCTGGGGCAGCCCCTCAAATATTGGAAGATGCTCTCCTGTCTCCCCTGGTCCTTCTCTTCCCTAGACCCAATTCCTGCAACCGTTCATCATATGTTTGAGCCTCCAGTCCCCTCATCATCCTGCTTGCTCTTCTCTGCACTCTTTCTAGAGTCTCAACATCTTTTTTATAGTGTGGTGACCAAAACTGGATGGAGGATTCTAGGTGTGGCCTTACTAAGGCTTTATAGAGTGGTATCAACACCTCCCTTGATCTTGGTTGTATCCCTCTGTTAATGCAGTTTAGGATTGCATTGGCTTTTTTGGCTGCCACTGCACAGGGCTGGCTCAGTTACTGCTATGAAGCCTGGTTTCCCCCAGTCTATATGTGTACTTTTGGTTTTTCTTACCTAAGTGTAGGACTTTACTTTTCTCTACACTGAATTTCATTTTGTTAGAGAGGGCCCAGGGTTCAAGTCTGTCTAGATCCATCTGGATCTTGAGTCTATCTTCCTGACCGAACTAGGTAACTAACATCATCAGTGCTAGAAGGGAGTTAGGTTTGTTCTCTGTTGATATATTAGTGACTTGCTGTGTTGCTGTTGGTGGGAGGGTTGTTTTTTCTTGGTACTTCCTTGATTAGGCTGCTGTTTATTGTTTGACTGTTTGTCTGGTGTTAATCCCTGCTTATCTGGGTGTTGATTGCTAGGGAGGAGTCTTTTTGTTTTCATCTTCTCTTTTCTTTCTTTACTACATTTACATGCTACCCATCTTTTTTTTTCCAAAGTGACTCTGGCCGCCTTGCAATCCCGTAAAATCATAAATATAGAAACATTAATAGGACTCAGATAAAAAAAAAACCCTATACACCAAGAGTACGAACAACTGATTCCTGAAATAGGATTTCTCCAGGCACATGAATGAATTCAAAGAAAAAGGAATTCTTTTCTATTTTTGGTATTCGTCTTCCTCACAGAGGTCCCGAAAGGTATTGATGAAGGTCGCCCTGTCTTCTCCCGATTCTCCAATGACGGCCACATTTAAGCTGATGTTCTCCAGGGAGGAAAAAGCATCCTGTAGGCGTTTGGTCAGCTGGTCAAAACTCCCCGTCGTCAAGGCAGCCTTGAGGTCCTGGATCTGTTTTTCGGTTAGAGCAATTTTGTCATTCTCCACTTTCTGTGCCATGGGGGTCAACGCTGAACTTTGCTGGACAACCCAGCGAGGAAGATCTGAAGAACCAAGCAAAGAACATCGTGTTAGTAGACGTTGCGTGATAAAACAGAGTCCTGTGTGTAGGTTTTCACCATTCAGGGGTTGACAAAATGTGATCTTGCAGCTGGAATCCCTCGTCCTTCAATCCTGCCACAGAGCAAAGGTTGATAAGCTGCCATTGCTAAAACCTGGTCGTAATTTTAAACAATCATGTGACGTTTTGGTAATATCACCTAAAAATCTTGTAAGACTTTGAGTTTTCCTTTAAAATTCAATGACCTGTTGACCTGATTGGCTGGGGAATCTTATGAGGATTTGTATCCGCAGGAATATATGGATATTGCTATATCCTACCTATTTCAACTCTGCAGCAAAAACATGATAGGTAGATGATTGAGTGATAGATGAGATAGATAGATAAATAGATGGATGGATGGATGGATGGATGGATATAGAAAGATATAGAGATATAGATTAGATAGATAGATAGATAGATAGATAGATAGATAGATAGATAGATAGATAGATAGATAGATAAGTAGATGGATGGATGGATGGATATAGAAAGATATAGAATAGATTAGATAGATAGATAGATAGATAGATAGATAGATAGATAGATAGATAGATAGATGGATGGATAGAGAAAGATATAGAGTTAGAGATTAGATAGATAGAGATAGATAGATAGAGAATGGATATAGATAGATATAGAGTAGAGTAGAGTAGAATAGAATAGAATATATAGAATAGAATAGAATATATAGAATTGAAATAGAAATAGAATAGAATAGAATATATAGAAATAGAATAGAATATATAGAATAGAAATAGAATAGAATAGAATATATAGAATAGAAATAGAATAGAATAGAATAGAATATATAGAAATAGAAATAGAAATAGAAGTAGAATTCTTTATTGGCCAAGTAACCAGGCTGTGTATTTTATAAAACCTTGGATGTTTGTCTTGGCACTGGTGTTTTTTCCATGCTGCCTTTCCTGGAATCACACTGCCATTTCCCCCCCCACATATTAGTATCCTTGGGGAGCCAAAATCCAGGAGCCAAAATAGGGAGGCTCTGCCTTCTCTCCTCTTTCCCAATTATGTTGGGATAGATTTGAAGGCAGGATTAGAATGGCAGACAGGCAAGTTACACCTGTTGCAATCCAAAGCTCGTTTGGAGCGATCTCAACTCTGCGGCAGGAAAGTAATTTCAGCATTATCTCTCCATTATTCCCAGGTCTAAAAACATACAGGTAGTCCTTGACTTATGACCACAATTGGGATCGGAACTTCTGTCATTGCAGGTGATTTTGTGACTTTTTTTTTTTTTTTTGCTGCTGTCGTTATGCAAATCTGGTGGTTCAGGGAGTCACACCTGATTTTACAACCTGGTTTGCCATGGTTGTTAAGCGAATCACTGCAGTTTCTAAGCGAATCACGCGGTCGCTAAGCAAATCTGGCTTCCTCCCATTGAGTTTGCTTGCCGAAAGCTGGCAAGAAAAGTTGCAAATGATGACTGCAGTGTGCGGTGGCAGCCAAAAAAGCCAATGCAATCCTAAATTGCATTAACAGAGGGATTCAATCAAGATCAAGGGAGGTCCTAATCCCACTCTATAAAGCCTTAGTAAGACCACACCTAGAGTCCTGCATCCAGTTTTGGTCACCAAAAAGAGTGACCAAAACTGAGGTTGAAACTCTAGAAAGAGTGCAGAGAAGAGCAACCAGGATGATGAGGGGACTGGAGGCTGAAACATACGCTGAACGGTTGCAGGAACTGGGCCTGGCTAGTCTAGTGAAGAGAAGGATCAGGGGAGACAGGATAGCTTTGGTGGCGCAGCGGACTAAAGTGCTGTTAAGTAGCACTTAGCTGCCAGCTGCCTGCAATTACTGTGAGTTCAAATCTCACCAGGCTCAAGGTTGACTCAGCCTTCCATCCTTCTGAGGTAGGTAAAATGAGGACCCGGATTGTGGGGGCAATAAGCTGACTTTGTATAAAAAAGAACACCGCTTGGGGGGGGGGGCAAAAGCCCTACTAAGCAGGTATCTACAAAAGTATGAAGGCTATTGCTTAATGCATTGTAAGTTGCCCTGAGTCTCTGGAGAAGGGTGGCATATAAATCGAACCAATAGATAGATAGATAGATAGATAGATAGATAGATAGATAGATAGATAGATAGATAAATAGCTAGCATCTTCCAATATTTGAGGGGCTGCCCCAGAGAGGAGGAAGGGAAGGCCAGACAAGGAAGAATGGATGGAAACTGATCAAGGAGAGATTCAACCTGGAAATAAGGAGGAATTTCCTGACAGGGAGAACAATCAACCCATGGAACAGAAGTTGCCTTCAGAAGTTGTGGGAGCTTCATCACTGGAGGCTTCCAAGAAGAGACTGGACTGCCACCTCTCAGATATGGTGTAGGGTCTCCTGCTTGGGCGGGGGGTTGGACTAGATGACCTACAAGGTCCCTTCAAACTCAATTAATCTGTTATCTAATCTGTAAACTCCAGGAGACTGTAACCATCATAACTATTTGCGAAATACTTGCGAAGCCCCTGAATTTTGATCGTGAGCGCATGGGAATGGTGCGCCAATTGCAGGCATAATGCCTGGCCATAGTATTCTGCATCACTGGGTGCAGTGTGAGGTCAGCGATGGAACCATAAGCAGGGGGGCGGAAAAAGAAGAAGTCAGCTGAAGGAATGGAAAAGATTTGCATATTTTATAACCAAGAAACACCTGGAAGGCAAACAAAAGCCACTTCTTTACAGGTGTGCTCCGAGAGATGAGGTGAGATAATATTATGTATCGCTTGCATGTTATAGCCCCATAAAACCATAATTTTGAAAAAAAGAACAGAGAATGTTTCTCATGAAGACGCCCAATGTAAATTAATCAAGAAAGAAAGAAAGAAAGAAAGAAAGAAAGAAAAAGAAAGAAAGAAAGAAAGAAAGAAAGAAAGAAAATGTTGTGCTTCACCAGCAGCCTGCAGAGCTAGCAGCGGAGTTGGACTTCCAGGTTGTTTTCCGGCGGTTTTCCGGACTTTTTTCCAGGACATTTTCTGGGCCATTTTTGGCCTGGAAAATGGCCTAGAAAACAGCCCGAAAACAGTCCAGAAAATGGTTTGAAAAATGGCTTGAAAACAGCCCCCCAAAACTGCCTGAAAAGAGTCCCAAAAATAGCCAAAAAACAGGCAGGTCCGCACCCGCCAACTGGTCTTGCACCGGCATTCCGGTTTGGGCAGTCGGTGCCGAAAAAGGTTTACCATCAGTGGTATAGGGACTCCTGCTCCTGCGGGCGGCGGGGGGGGGATGTTGGACTAGATGACCTCCAAGGTCCCTTGCAACTCTGTTAGTCTATGTGAAGACATATTCAGGAGCAAACTAGCATTCTTATGCTCTGAACCGTTTTTGGGGAAAAAGAATGCAATGCAGTGGGGGAAAAAAAAGATTTTGACCTTTAGTGCAAAGGGGAAGTGTGAGTTTCTTTGCACAATTGTGTGCAATCTCCATGGGCTCCCTGCCCTTCATTCCACACCCATCCTCTACTTGAGAAACTGCCAAACCACAGATCAATCCGGTTTACACAACTGCTCAGGACGGCCGCAGGAAACACAAAAGGCAAAGGGTTAACTTGCGGACAAAACCTTGGGGAGCCTGGTGCCTAGAAAGATTCCCCCCCCCCTCCTGTGATCTGTGACAGTGGACTGCAACAAAAACAAATTTCCAATGAATAGAATAGGATAGGATAGGATAGAATAATAAGAGGAGAGGAGAGGAGAATAAAGAGAAGAATGGAATGGAATGGAATGGAATGGAATGGAATAGAATAGAATAGAATAGAATAGAATAGAATAGAATAGAATAGGAAAGAGTCGAGTTGAGTCGAGTCGAGTAGAATAGGGAAGGGAAGGGAAGAGAAGAGAAGAGAAGAGAAGGGAGGGAAGGGGAGGGGAGGGGTGGGGAGAGGAGAGGAGAGGAGAGAAAAGAAAAGAAGAGGAAGAGAAATAGAAATAGAAATAGAAATAGAAATAGAAATGAAGGGAAGAGAAGAGAAGAGAGAAGAGAAGAGGGGAGGGGTGGGGAGGGGAGAGGAGAGGAGAGGAGAGGAGAGGAGAGGAGAGGAGAGGAGAAGAGAAGAGAAAAGAAGAGAAGAGAAGAGAAAATAGAATAGAATAGAGTTGGAAGGGACCTTGGAGGTCTTCTAGTCCAACCCCCTGCCCAGGCAGGAAACCCTACATCACTTCAGACAAATGGTTATCCAACATCTTGTTGGGACATTCAAAACTTCTGCAGGCAAGTTGTTCCACTTATTAATTGTTTTAAATGTCAGGAAATTTGTTCTAAATTTCTTCTCTCCTTGATTAGTTTCCATCCATTGCTTCTTGTCCTGCCTTCAGGTGCTCTGGAAAATAGTTTGACTCCTTCTTCTTTGGGGCAGCCCCTGAGATATTGGAAGACTGCTCTCCTGTCTCCCCTAGTCCTTCTCTTCATCAAACTAGACATAGCCGCCCTGAGTCTTCGGAGAGGGGCGGCATATAAATTCAATTGATTAAATTAAATTAAATTAAATTAAATTACCCAGTTCCTGCAACCGTTCTTCATATGTTTTCGCCTCCAGTGGTATTAAGACTTCACGGGCTCTTGATTCTCTCCCTCTGTTTACGCAGCCCAGAACTGTGTTGGCTTTTTTGGCAGCTGCTGCACACGGCTGGCTCCTATCTAAATGGTTGTCCACTAGGACTCCAAGACCCCTCTCACAGTCACCACTATTGAGCAAGGGACCACGTCTACGGTACCTGTGCATTTGGTTTTTCTTCCCTAAAAGTAGAACCTGGCTTTTTTCACTCTTGAATTTCATTTTGTTAGATAGCGCCCAATGTTCAAGATCTGTCAAGATCCTTCCGTATCTTGAGCCTATCTGCTGGAGTGTTGGCTATTCCTGCCAGCTTGGTGTCATCTGCAAATCTGATGAGTTCCCCATCTCTCCCCTCCCCATCTCTCCCACCAAGCCATCAGTGACCGTCTGATAGGCCATGTCAATGGGGAAACCGGATTCACTTAAGAACCGCGTGACTAACTTAACAACTGCAGGTCGTACAGTGGGGCAAAACTTGCTGAAGAACTGTTTCGCTTAGCAGCAGAAATTTGGGGCTCAGTTGTGGTCGTAAGACGAGGACAATCTATAGAAGGAAATCACTGAAAGATCTTGTTTATCCTAAGTATTCGACCACGGCATTGGCTTAAGGACTGCTGCGATCACTTAGTGACCACTGGAGGTTCTATGACGGTCATATGTCGAGGAGTATACTATGGGAAAAGGTAGTGTAAATGACAGTTGTAAAAATACAAAACTGCCTATAATGCAAAGAGTAAAAGGAAATTGTGGTCATTGAGTCTTCCTTCCTCCCTCCCTCCCTCCCTCCCTCCCTTCTTTTCCCTCCCTCCCACCTTCCCCACCAACAACTTCTGGAGGGAAGCCCTTCCACCGATTAACAGACTAGCAGAAGACCTTGGAGACCCCCTGCTCAAGCAGCAGACCCTCTACAACAGGCACCCTCAAACTACGGCCCACGGGCAAAGAATACGGCCCGCGGAGTGGTGTGATTAAGCCCCGCCCCTTGCCCCGCCCCTAACTGCCTTATCTCCCAGCGAGCCAGCTGCAAGGCCAGCTGAGGGCCAGCTGAGGGGTGATCTCGCCGGTGCAGCCTGGAAAAGCAGCTCTGGGCTTGTAAAGAACTCCTTTAAATTAAAAGTCTTTAAAACAATTTAAATGGGGGCTTAGAAGGAGAAAAGCCAGAAAATAGACAGTTAAATTGGCCACGCCCACCCAGTCACATGACCACCTAGCCATGCCCACCCACCCCGTCCGGTCCCCCAACAGTCTGAGGGACTGTGAATTGGCCCCCTCTTTAAAACATTGGAGGACCCCTGCTCTACAACCTCAGACAAATGGCTGTCCAGAATATTGGGGTGCATCCCAAGGTCTCCTCACCTCCGAGAAGAAAACCTTCCCGATGGTCTTCTCTCTTAGATCGGGACGGGGCAGGTAGGTGTTGGCCTCTCTGAACATCACCTTCAGCCCCAGTTTAGAGAAGCTGACTAAATTCCCAAAAGAGCAAATATGGAGAGCTCAGACGAGATCTGCTGGTTAGGGAGAAGAAAATCACCAAGCTAGAGAAATCATGATCTGAATTCAATTACTCAATGAATTACTCCATTTAGAGAATTTCTCACCCTCCCTCTCTTTCTCTCTCTTTCTCTCCCTCCCTCTCCCCCTCCCTCTCCCTCTCTCTCTTCCCCTCTCTCTCTCTTTCCCTCTTTCTCTTTCTCCCTCCCTCTCTCCTCTTCCTCACTCTCCCCTCCCTGAGACTGATTTCTAGGATCTTACCCAATGAATCCAAACACAGGATGCAGTGAACCAATGCTCTTTATTGATCAACGTTTCTATTACAGGTATTTAGCTGGAAGTGGCCCCTGGACGCCTGGACCATGACTTAAGTACCTGGGAGGCGGAGCTAAGGGAAGGAGGGGTCAGGGGAGGATCTAGGTGGATGTAGAGTTAACCCTTATCATACCTGGGATGGTGAATGGTGGGCATTTACACATAACAAATCCCCCTCTAAATGCGCAACAGTTGGACCTGTTACAGAATCCATGGATCAGGCCCAATAACTGGCACGAGTCAATCATTTGAATAAGTCTCTTTTATTTACAGGTTCATCATTACGTCACATACTGCATCTGGAAGTGGAAGTCGGGGAAGAGTGTGTCTACTTTTTATACTTGTGGGCGGAGATTCAGGTAAGGAGTGGTCAGTGGGTGGTACTGACCAAGTGAGTATTGTAGTTAACCCCTGCACTACTGTGTCCCTGTTGACCCCTGGCATGAGTAAGGCATTTATTTCTGACAAATCCCCCTCTAAATGCCTGACCTGTGGCTGTGGATCTGACTGTTTAAATGGTGCCCAAGGGCGGATATTGAGTTTGGATACCAGGTGTGAGTGTTGCCTGCCCTGTAGTGGTTTCGTGAGTATGTCTGCAGTCTGTTCTTCTGTGTCGCAATGTATGGCCTTTACAAATCCGATTTTAAAGAGCTGTCTCACATGCTTGTACTTTATATCAATATGCCTGGATCTCTGTCCTACCGCATCGGCCATGGAGATTTCTATAGCGGCCTTGTTGTCTTCGTAGATGTTTATCGGATACGCAGGTTTGCACCACATACTGGCGAGTAGGTCGTCGAACCAGATGAGGTTGTTTGCGGCCTTGGATAGGCATATGTACTCCGCCTCTGTGGTTGAAGTGGCCACTAAGTTTTGCTTACCCGTGTACCAATGCACCGGACTATTGTTCAAGTAGAATACGTATCCTGATGTGCTTTTCCGGCTTTTGGTGTCACCGGCCCAGTCAGCATCAGCATAGCAGGAGAGGACGGGCTCGTTGGACGGCTCTGGTTCTAGGACTAGGCATGCGTTGGCACTTTGCTTCAGGTACCTCAGTACCCTCTTTACAGCGTCCCAGTGGTACATGGTGGGTTTGCCTATGTGCCTGGACAATAGATTAACTGATAATGCAATATCTGGCCTGGTCCAGTTGGCGATATATAAAAGAGAGCCTATGACTGACCTGTACAGTGTGTTGTCTTCAAACTCGGGTGATTCACCATGCGTATTTTTTAGGAAGTCCGGCTGCATGGGTGATTCACACCCCTTGGCATCTGCCATGTTGCATTTGTGTAGTATTTCTTCTATCTTTTCTTTCTGGGACAGTTGAAAGCCCTTAGGTGTTTTGTTGACTTGCACGCCTAGGTATCTGTTTATTTTCCCTAAGTATTTTAATGTGAAGTGTTCACTTAGTTTACTGGCGAAGGCGTTACGGTTCCCTTCGTGTTTACTGATATAAAGTATATCGTCCACGTAGACTAGGATGTATTCTGGTGAATCCCCCTCTCTCCTAGTGAAAAAACAGTTGTCGGCTATGGTTGCCGTAAATCCCATTGACTTCAGGACCTCAACTAGGCACTCAGCGTTTGCCGGATTGTTTCAGTCCATATAGGCTTTTGTGAAGTAGCCAGGTGTCCCCCCTGTTGGTGTCTTTACTGTGTGGTGCCCTAACGTATATTTCCTTATCTAGGTTGGCGTGCAGGTAAGCTGTCTGCACGTCGAACTGATGTACCTCTAGTCCTAGCAGGGAAGCGATGACCAGGGCACTCTTGACACTTTCAGTCCTTATGGTTGGTGAGTAAGTGTCAGTGTAGTCTTCTGGGAACCTCTGGGCAAATCCCTGGGCAACCAGCCTAGCTTTGTACAGGTTTTGGCCACCCTCCAGGTTCTTGATTTTGAAGATCCACCTGGTACCTATCGTATTTTTGCCCTCTGGAACTTCGGCTGGAGTGTAAACTTCTAGCTCTCTCAGACTGTCCATTTCCTTGGCCATGGCTGATTCCCATTTCGACCTCTCCTCTTGTGGTAGTCTCAATACCTCTTCATATGAGTTAGGTGTGATATGGTTCGTGTGTATGTGCATCACATAGTCATTTAACCTTCTTGGTAATTGGTTCCTGGTTGATCTGACTGGCCTACCTGTCGTTTGTTCGGTGTCATGTAAGTACCTGGCTTCCTTTTGTGTTAGTGAGTCTACACTTATCTTGGGGTGATTCCCTTTCCATTCCTCAACCTTGATGCCTTAGAGCTTGGGTTTGTGTTCCTTCCTTTCCTGTCTATCTGCCGTTTCGTGTTTGTCTTGCACTTGCTCATCTGGCCTAGTCTCCCGCCTGGTGGATACCTCGTTGAGGTGTATCCTGGACCAGTTAGCTTGTTCATGGAATACCGCTGTCCTAGAGACCACGAATCTGTCGTTATTGTCCACAAATCTGAACCCCTTGGTACCTGGCTCATACCCCATAAATCTCAGTCTCCTGGATACTTTGTCCCCCTTCCTGCGCAGCTGTTTGGGTATATGGACATCAGCGGTTACGCCGAATACATGTAGGTGTGCTATCTGTGGTTTTTTGTTGTACATGAGTTCGTATGGCGTTTTGTCTATTACACTGGACCAGGTTCTGTTGAGTGTGTAGTTTGAGTAAACTAAGGCCTCAGACCAAAAATGTTGACCAATTCCCGCGTCCTCTAAAGCGCACCTGATCATAGTCTGTAGCGTGGAATTCCGTCGTTCAACGACACCGTTCTGAAAGGCCAAGAACGGGGACGACGTAAAGTGAAGCACGCCTTTGGATCTGAGCCAATGAGAGAAATCCTTTGACAGGAACTCAGATCCTCTGTCTGTCATGATTTGTTTGATTTGTGTGTTGTTTTGAGTCTCTACCCTTTTGTAGAACTCTTTGAATTTTTGGAAGGCCTCATCCTTTCGTTTTAGAGTATAGACGAAGCCATAACGACTATAATCGTCTACGATGGTGAGAAAGTATCTTTTCTTGTATTTGATGGATGGCCTTAGGGGCCCCACCAGATCCATATGGACTAAATTGAATACTTGTTTGGTGGCGCGTGAGGATTTCTTAGGTCTGGGTTTGACCTTTAGCTTAGAACATTTGCACACCGAGCACTCGAGGTAATTTTCACAACTCTTTATTTTGATGCCCTCGGTACAGTTGGCCATTTTTTGGATTACAGGGAAACTGGCCCTAGTCTCCGGTGTAGTAAGTGAGCGCAGTCGTCGTGCATGAGTTTGCCTATCGATGGCCTTCCCTGGGTGTGTTTGGTGGTGTGTGTTTCATGTGTCATGTTCTCCTCACTCTCTGTCTCTCTCTCATTCACCTGCTCTTCCTCAGCTTTGTCCTGGTTAGTGTCCTTTGTGTATTCTGAGTTGGTGTATATGCTGGGTGTGTTACTCTCATGGAATGTTATGTATGGTAGCCCTTGCTTGATTGTCACTCTACCTACTCCCTCTCTACCCTTGCTGACGTGAGCCTTCCCTTCTGCGAAGGTTACCTTGATCCCTGATTCTTCACTGAGTTTTAATGCGGCCAATATGTTGTGGGGTATCTCCGGGACCAGTAATACCCCCTCTATTTTCCCTATGCCTGGTAGCGTAACTACCACCCTGCCTGTTACCTTAACCTCGCTTTGGTTTGCAACCTTGATTGAAAAATTCTCCTCTGTGAATGAGGAGAGCAGTTTTTGGTTATAGGTTGTGTGGTTGGAGGCCCCAGAGTCCAGAAGCCACGAGTTGGCCTCCCCATCCTGACATGTTATGTGGGTGCGCTCCCCTATCCCATATAATGATCCTGTTCTGCTGTCACGTGAACTATCCCTGTTCCCCCTCCTGTCTCTGGGATTGGGTGAGTCCCTGCGTTCTGTACCTCTCTTCAGAAGTGTGTCTCTCTTTCTGTCTGAATCTATGTTCCGGTCTGCTTCTCTCTCTGTGGTTCTTGGGGCAGTCTCTCTTGAGATGTCCCCTTGACCCGCAGCTATAGCACTCTGTTACGCCATGCTGCCTGTCTTGGAAGGCTACTTTCTTTTCGTGTTTATGTTCTCTGGAGGGACCAGAGCGGCTCCTTTTCAGATTGTCTTCAGCGATCAGTTTGTTAGACAGCTTCTCAACGGACAGGAGGCCTAGACTAACAGTATCTAAGTGTGCTAAGAAGCTGTCCCATGAGTGATCTAAAGAGTTAATTATTACACTCTTCATGATCTGATCTGATATGACTTCCCCCCTAAGGTGTAGTTCTGCCCTGGTAGCGTTTAGGGACACCAGGTGCTCGCTTATGGGGGTCCCCGGTTTGACTCTGGCAGAGAAGAAATCTTTGGAAATCTGGGTAGTGGTTGCCACACTTTCACTGTAAAATAACCCAAACATTTTTTGTATGATTTCTGACACAGTGAGATTGTGACCAATGCTATGGTAAATTGTGGGAGATATGCTAGAAATTAAAAGGTAAAATGCCCTATGGTGCAATACAGTCCAACTCTAAAGTCCATGGTCTCTCTGGGGGGTCATTAATAAAATGTGACATGTTTTCTTTTAGGAACACCACCTGAAGCTGCTGTGACCACTCTAGGATATTGCCCCCATCCATCCTCAACTTTGGAAAGTCACTTGGTAAGTTCCCAGCATTATTTGTAAAATTACTTACTGCAGGCTGCTGTCCATGGTTCTTTATGTGCCTATAACAGCAGTACGGCATGGGAACGCTTGCCGGCAGTTTAAAAGTCCCTCTCTGTAATTTTTTTCTTTTTTCTTCCTCTAGGTGAAACAGCGCATGTGCGAAGTCCATTTCAGCTCTGCCGTCGTCGTGGAAGGACCTGTTCATTGCAGCTCCAGCGTAGAGGTCTCTATCTGTCGGGTAGGCCTCGGCTTCGGTCTTGGGGGTCCAGGTGTGCTCCGGAAGGTGTCGTCTTGCAGCGGCTTCGTCAAAGTGAAGATCCTGATGGCGTTGGAGTCCCGGCGACGAATGCAGGTAGCTGCCCCAATCCCTGCGTTCTGGGGTGCGTGGCCTGGGCGATCGGAGGCGCGGTGTCCTTGGGGTGCGTAGGGGGGTTGGCGCGCTGGCGTGGGCATCGGTAGTCCTCGGGTGGGTGTTCCGGTGCCCCTCTCCTCGCTTTCCTTTTTGCTTGGGCCCCTCCGGTTCCCCTTTTGCGATTTTGAGGCCTGGGCTGAAGGCGGCGGCAAGGGTCTTCATGGCCTTATCGACTTGCCACTCGGTCGGGGTGCATCTGGAGTCCGAATCGGATTCTGTCCCCTCACCCCGGTCACTTTCTTCGCCGCTTAGGGTCGGGTATTTTTCGCGCGCCGGCCATTTTGAATTCTGGCTACCGATTGGACTGGAGTCGGCCATCTTGTCTGACCACGTGGTCAAAGATGGCCGCCATTTCAAATTTTGAGCGGGGCTTCGCGGCTCGGTGACTGCTGTGGGGTCTTTTGGGGGCGATCCACTCACCGAGTTCAGCTTTTCGAGCTCCGGATCCTAGTCTTCCTCGCTCCTCGCCACATCGCGGTCCATTATGAAGCTTCGCAGGTCCGCGAGAAGGTTCTTGTCGCTGGCTCGCTCCTTTAGTAATCATAGGACGTCGAGTCGTAGTCTTTCTTCCTCCCGGTCATCATGGTCTGCTATTTTTCCTTTCTTGACCTCCCCCTTTTCTTCTGTTGCGGTGGCCTTGGGGTCGATCGAGGTTTCTGCCTTCCCTGGCGATCCCGCTGGGTTGCCCTCTCGTTGCTTCGGTGTCGTTGCCATCTCGTTGGCAGCGATGTGTCCTCATTGCGTGATCGGGAGTTATTGGGCCATAAAACCATCCTCTGCTACCATATTGTTACAGAATCCATGGATCAGGCCCAATAACTGGCACGAGTCAATCATTTGAATAAGTCTCTTTTATTTACAGGTTCATCATTACATCACATACTGCATCTGGAAGTGGAAGTCGGGGAAGAGTGTGTCTACTTTTTATACTTGTGGGCAGAGATTCAGGTAAGGAGTGGTCAGTGGGTGGTACTGACCAAGTGAGTATTGTAGTTAACCCCTGCACTACTGTGTCCCTGTTGACCCCTGGCATGAGTAAGGCATTTATTTCTGACAGGACCTGCTTGCGTATTCTGTACCCGTACCCCTAATTTAGTCGTAAGGTAGGCATGTTGTTTGCTGGGTAGAGGTTTGGTCAGGATGTCTGCGGCTTGCTCGGCGGTCTCACAATGTACAGCCTTAATAAAACCAATGTTTGTTAATTCTCTGACATGTTTGTGCTTAATGTCTATATGTCTGGACCTTTGGCCTACTGCTTCTGCCATGGATATGTCTATGGCTGCTTTGTTGTCCTCATGTATTACTATCGGGTAGGCCGATTCATTCATCTTTTGTACCATTGGAAAACTAGCGTGGCCTAGTTTTCTGTGTAGTAAGTGGGCGCACCCATCATGAATGGGTTTGCCAATATGTGGTTTCCCTTTGTGTGTTGTGTTTGTGGTGGGTTTGCCTCCTGCGGTGTGTTCTCCTTCACCCCCTCTATTTTCTGTGGGCATGCTTGTCCCTTTCTCGTTACTTTCTGAGTTAGTGTTTGAGTGCTCTTGGGGCACTAAGTAGGATAGTCCCCCTTCTATGATGATCTTTCCTATGCTTCTCTTTCCTTTGGTCATATATGCTTTCCCTTCCCTGAAGGTTGTCTCAATGCCCAAGTCTTTACTTAGTTTGAGTGTTGCTAATATATTGTGGGGTATTTCTGGGATGAATAGTACCCCCTCTATCTTCCCTATTCCATCTATGTGTGCGCTCCCTTCTCCTTTCACCAATACCTTGTTCTGGTTGGCTACATTGATGTGGTATTCCTTAGGTGTGAATGCCTCCAGTATGTTCCTATTGTTGGTGGTGTGATTGGTGGCTCCTGAGTGAATGAACCATGTGTTCCTTCCTTTTGCCTGGGTGTTTGGGTGTTGGTGGTCTCTAAGTTCGTATAGTGACCCAGTCTGACTATCCCTGGAGCTATCCCTATATCCTCTCCTGTCCCTGGGGTTGGGTGAGTCCCTGTGCCTGAACCTGCTTTCTGGGGAGCGCCTGTCTGAGTAACCTGGTTTGCGGCCTTGCCTTTCCCTATGGTAGCTGTGGTCCCTGTCCCTCTGGTTTCTGGGCAATCTCTCCTATAGTGATTCCTAGACCCACAGTTAAAACATTCTGGCTTATCTTGGTCCCTGGTCTGGAAGTCTACCCTTTTTGTTGGTCTGCTTTCCCTGAGGCTTGATGAGCGTTCCCTTCTCAGGCTGTCCTCCGCAATCAGCCTGTTGGATAACGTCTCTAAAGAGAGGTGCTCTATGTTGAGACTATCCAGTTGCATGATAAAGTTCTCCCAACTGGGGTTTAGGGAGTTTATGATGATGCTTTTCATGATATTATCAGAAATGGTTTCCCCCCTTTGTATGAGTTCTGCCCTGGTGGTGTTTAGCTTGAGTATATGTTCCCCCATGGGTGTCCCTGCCTTATGCCTGGCTGAGTAAAATTCCCTGGATATTTTGGTTGTAGTGGCTGCACTCTTACTGTAAAATAAATTAAGTATTTTTTATAGTATCTCTGCCACGGTTAAGTGGTGGCCAAGACTGGGGTAAATGCTGGGTGACAAGCTAGACATTAGCAGATAGTAAGCCCTGTGGTGCAAACAGTCAATCTCAAAAGTCCATGGCTTCTTGGGTGGGTCATCAAATAAGTACAACATATTTTCTTTCAGAAAAGCAATCTGTAGTTGGTGGTACCACTCCAAAAGATTGGCCCCATCTAATTTCAATTTGTAATTGTCAGCAGTGAAAGTTATATTACTTACAGTCTGTTGCTGTCCATGGTTCTTTATGTGAGTGAACTCACAATATGCTGGGGGAATGCTTGTTGCCAGTCTGAACTGACTTATCTCTATGTTCCTTGTACTTATCTCTATGTTCCTTGTACTTATCTCTATGTTCCTTGTACTTCCTGTAGGTGGCGACTGGGCATGCGCGAGGCTCATTTCGCGCCGGAGGTCGTCTGGTGAGGAGCTCCTTATTGCTGCTCTCAGGCCTAGGCCTAGGCCTGCTGGTGGGGGGCTGGGCTTGCTCCTGGCGGGCCCGTAGCCCTCCCTGGGCGTCGGATGCCATGGCTGGGCCCCTGCATCTTGGGCGAAGGCTGGAAGAAGGCGAGGAGGTGAGGCGGTCGCAGGTCGAGGATCCCTGGAGACGGTGGCGGCGGCTGTCGTAAGTCGAGGATCTCCCGGATTCGGCGGCACGGTAGCGGCGGTGTCAGGTATGCTTCCTTCAATATCCAGGAAAGAAAAACCCAAACTCAATCATTTTAAAGAGCTTAGTACTTTTACTGAATATGAAATGATCGCAACCCAGGTAAAGCTGGAAGTGAGCAAAATGCGCGAAATAGCATCTACTAAGCTTCTCCCCCCCCCATGTCCATTGACCATCATCCAATCCAAAGGTCTCCCAAAGGTCAGGTGGCATCACGTCTGGCAACGTCATTCATCAGGAATGTAGGGCAGTTGGTCAGCCGGCCCCTTTGGAGATTCACTTTCGTTTCTTGGGAAGACACGTCCTACAATGGAAAAAACACCTCCTGCACCTTCCCCCCCTTCGCCCCCTTTACTAGTCCCTCCCCCCGTTTCTTATGGCAGCTGAAGCAGGCAAAGCTGAGGCTGACATTCGGCCCCTCTTGCAGAAGTGAAGTTATTCCTAAATAAGAGAAAGGGAAAAAAGAGAGAAACAGAATATATACAATAATTATGGTTTATCTGGGTATTTGGTATAGAATTGCTGTATTTTCTTGGGAGCTCGGACATCCCGTTTATTCACCCATTCAGCCTGAGACAAAGGGAAATGTTTCCAGGCTATCAGATATTGGACTTTACCATGGTGTTTCCTAGAGTCCAAGATTTCCTTAACTTCAAAATGTTGCTCCCCCTCTATGAGAATGGGAATTGGAGGGGTGCTTTGATCAGCCCTCAGGGGAGACGAGTGTTCAGGTTTTAATAAACTAACATGAAATACAGGATGTATACGTCTCAACGTTTTTGGCAATTCCAATTCAATTGTTACTGGATTAATCAGTCTAATCACACGAAATGGTCCTACATACTTAGGGCCAGTTTTTTCGACTTCTGGGTAGTCTGTAAATATTTAGTAGATAAATAAACTTTATCACCCACTTTATAAATGTGAGCTGGGGACCTTTTCTTATCGGCTTGCGCCTTATGGGCCCGGTGTGCCTCATCTAATGCCTTCCGAGTCACTGCCCATGTGCTCTTTAATTGTTCAATCCAATCCATCAAAGAGGGATTCTGGGGATCATCTTGTGGTAGCTCGGGAATGGGTACGAAATCCTGGCCCGAAGCGACCTTAAAAGGAGTGAATCCGGTGCTACTGTGTACGGAATTATTATATGCCACCTCTGCAAATGGCAACAAGTCTACCCAATTGTCTTGCTGGTAATTTACGTAACACCTCAGGTATTGTTCTAGAACCCCATTGGTTCTTTCATAGGCCCCATTTGTCTGAGGGTGGTGACTGGAACTCAGCCCCTGGGCGGAGCCTATCAACTTCAAAAACTCTGTCCAGAAACTGGAAGTAAATTGCACACCCCTTGGAGATCCATGTAGCCGGTAAATCTGCCGAATAAACAGTTTTGCAAGGGTTTTTGCTGAAGGGATCTTTGAGCAACGGATGAAATGTACTTGTTTGGAAAACAAATCAGTTACTACCCAAATGACAGTGCAGCCTTCACTCTCTGGTAAGTCCACAATAAAATCCATAGATATTTCCTTCCATGGGGCATTCGGTCTGGCCACACCTTGCAGTAATCCAGGGGTTTTTCCTGGAGGTCTTTTAGCCGAGGCACATACTGGACAGCTAGCCACATATGCCTCTATGTCCTTTTTAAGTGCAGGCCACCAAAATTGTCTCTTAACAAGATGTAGAGTCTTGACAAACGCAAAGTGTCCCACGGCCTTGGCATCATGAGCATATTTCAATACGGTTGTTCTTAATGTGGTCGGAACATACAATTTCGATCCAACCCAAGCTAGTCCGTCACAAAGTGTGCATTCATTCGAGTGGTTCTTAAACCACTCGTCAGTTTTTAGCGCTTCTCGCAATTTTTCGAGTAAATCCCCCAAGAGTTCTGGTTCGGGTTTTCCCTGCGCTCTGGTAGTGACAGGTGTTGCCAATTGTGTCGAGGGGATCATAGGTTGAACCACCTCCTTCTTGATGCTGTTATACTGCGGCAATCTGGAAAGTGCGTCCGCCATGAAGTTCTTTCCACCAGGAAGATAACGTAGGGTGAAATTGAAACGATTGAAATGTTGGGCCCAACGAGCCTGTTTTGGTGATAGTTTGTGTGGTGTTTTTAATGCCTCTAAATTCTTGTGATCAGTCCACACTTCGAAAGGGTGTTTCGCCCCTTCTAAAAATTGTCTCCATGTTAACAGCGCCCATCTAACTGCAAACGCCTCTTTCTCCCATATGGCCCATCTCCTTTCCGTTTCTGATAGTTTACGGGACGTGTAAGCACAGGGTTGTAATATCCCGTTCTCATTCTTTTGCAAGAGTATTGCTCCTACAGCTACGTCACTGGCGTCAGCTTGTACTACAAAAGGTTGTTCCATGTCGGGGTGTTTGAGCATTGGTTCAGCCGCAAACAGCTGTTTCAATTTTTCAAAAGCGGCTTGACAGTCCATAGTCCATTCTAGTGGTTTCGAGGGTTTGGGCTCTACTTCCCCTTTCCTTTTTAGCAAGTCTGTAATTGGTAGTGCGGTTTCTTATGGCAGCTGAAGCAGGCAAAACTGAGGCTGACAGGCAGTGGATCCTGGGCGACGTTGGAGGACCTCCGGATGGGCCAGGAAGCCTGGTGGAGGCCGCGTGGTTGGTGAGTCATTGTAGGCTTTGGAGTTTCGCGATGAGCTCCTCTTTGCTGGCAGTCGTTTCCATCATCCCCAGGATGGTGGATCGGAATTCTTCATTGCTTGGTGGCTCTGCCCTTTCGCAGTAGTAGGTTTCTTCTCTTGGCCCTTCGTCCCTGAGTTGTGGACTCGGGTTGTAGTCTCCATCACCTTCAGTTGTGGTGGTCCTTGCTGTGGCACCTTCGAGAGCCTGCAGTTCTTTCATCTGTTTGATGTAGGCTCTGGTGGCCATTCTTTTCTCTGCCTCTGTCTGGGTTCTTGATTCTGCCATCTCTGTGAGTTGCGGGTAAACCGTCCTCTGCTACCAACCTGTGACTGATTTCTAGGATCTTACCCAATAATTCCAAACACAGGATGCAGTGAACCAATTCTCTTTATTGATCAATGTTTCTATTACAGGTATTTAGCTGGAAATGGCCCCTGGACGCCTGGACCATGACTTAAGTACCTGGGAGGCGGAGCTAAGGTAAGGAGGGGTCAGGGGAGGATCTAGGTGGATGTAGAGTTAACCCTTATCATACCTGGGATGGTGAATGGTGGGCATTTATACATAACAGAACCAGCCTATGCCAGTCTTCAAAGCCCTGAAACCTCATTGAACATCAGTTAACTCTGCATTCGTATTTGTCTTTATCTCCCCTCCCATTTGTGTTTCCTTATTTATTTATTTTATTAAATTTCTATACCGCCCTTCTCCCGAAGGACTCAGAGCGGTGAACAGCCAGAAGATAAAACACAGAGATACAAAAATTTAAAATAGATTAAAAACGAATTAAATAATTTGGCTGAATTTAAAATACCCCATAATTTAAACAGATTAAAATTTGTATTTAAAATTTATATTTAAAAGGGGAGAAGATTTAGGCCAGGCCAGCTTGATGAAAGAAAAACGTTTTAAGCATTTTTGCAGGACTAACATCTCTGAAAAAGGGGGCAGAATGTCAGAACTGCAATCTTCAACTTGGCACTTCACTGGCGTCCTGCCACCAATTGTTAGGGGAGAGGATGGAGGCAATTGTCATGGACAGGGTAGAGTTGGCCTACAGGGAGGGCGTGTAACAGGCTTCAAAGAAACCACAGGTGTGAGAACCAGCCTGTTCCAGTCTTCAAGTCCACAAAGCCTGAGAAAAGAATGCAAACTCCACCAAGAGGCACCAAACATCTGAGCGGTTCCCCAAACACCTCCTCGGCACACCATTGGTTGAAGACGGACCGGTCGGGGTGGGTGGATGGGATGGTGAGAAGGGGAGAAATTTGCAAATTTTTGACCAGGAGCTTTAGTTCTAGCCGGCTTTTGCTGCAACCACTAATTCCTCTTTTAAAAACCTATCACTTCAACCAAGTGACACTTCAACCAAGTGTCCGGGAGGATCCCGGATCTGCGCACCTTCCGTCATGCGCTTAAAACATTTTTATTTCATCAAGCTGGCCTGGCCTAAATCTTCTCCTCTTTTAAATTTAAATTTTAAATACAAATTTTAATCTGTTTAATTATGGGGTATTTTAAAATTCAGCCAAATTATTTAATTCGTTTTAATCTATTTTAAATTTTGTATCTCTGTGTTTTATCTTCTGGCTGTTCACCGCCCTGAGTCCTTCGGGAGAAGGGCGGTATAGAAATTTAATAAAATAAATAAATAAATAAATAAAACGGAGTGGAGGGTCTTTCTTTCCTAACGACCTACTTTTGGCAAGCCTAACAACATCATCCTGGGCAAAGGAAGGAGGCCAGGAACTTCCTGACATGATTGGGATACCTACTAGAAACACTCACGTCAAAGGACTCTTCCACCACATTTTTGTTGCGATTTGGCGAGATCTGGCCATGAATGGTGTGGATGGGTTTTAATTGTTTTCTTTTATTGAAAAGTTTTACAAACAAGAATTTTTTTTCCAAATATTTCCCCTCCCCCGCTCCTTTCCCTCCCCCCTCTACCCCCCCCGGACTTCCCAGAACAAAATACAGGTAAAACAATTAACAGTCATATGCTAAGCTAAGCTAACTAACTACAGATTCCTATCCCCCCCTCGACACTTTAACTCACCTTTTACTTAACTAAATATACATACTCTTAACTTTTCCATTCATTCATAAGCTATTTGATACTTTTTAGTCCGATATTTGTTTTGAATATAATCAATCCATCTTCTCCATTCCAATATATATTTTTCTTGTGAGTGATCTTTCAAATATGCTGAAATTTTCGCCATTTCTGCCAAATTTGCCACTTTTAATGTCCACTCTTCAATAGTAGGCAATTCTTCCTTCTTCCAGTATTGCGCCACCAAAAGTCTAGCTGCAGTTATTAAATTTAAAATCCATTTAGTCTCTATAACCGTACAATTATACCCAAGAAAAACAATTGTGGGGTAAACTTTATCTTCTTTTTAAGAATATTTTGGATAATCCACCATATTTTAATCCAAAATGCTTTAACTTTTTTACAAGTCCACCATATATGATAATCACAATCACATCTCCAACACTTAGATTGCAAATTCGGATACATACAAGCCAACTTTTTAGGATCTAAATGCCATCTGTAAAACATTATATAAAAATTTTCTCTTAAATTTTGTGCTTGCATAAATTTTACATTTGTTTCTATTTCTTGCATAAGTATCTTGGTTACCCAAACCATGTCTATTCTGGACCAGGACTTATGGGGGTTAGAATAATATGTGAATTTCTTTACCTCGGAATTATAAAATCTGCAACCATCTATTAAATTCACTTCTTGTACTAAATCCATAAAAGTTCTAGGCAGTACATTTTTCTTTTTTTTATTACTCTGATCACTGCTATAATCCTTTTTACATCTACAATTGCGTTGAAATCGCCGATCAAACATATATTCCCTATTTTTTCTTCTATTATCTTTTGATGTACTTTTTTTTGTAAAATTCTAATTGTCCACTGTTCGGCGCATAGATAACCACCAATAACATACTTTTATATTTAAATTTTACTTCTATCATCAATATTCTTCCTACTGAATCTGCATATCTCAATTTACACTCTATTCCTTCTTTAATGTACACCACTATTCCTCTTTTCTTTTCTTCCGCTAGTGTTACAAATGATTCCCCTAATTTTTTACGTAATAAGTATTTTTCATCTTGTTTTCTTATGTGTACCTCTTGAAGGCACACAATATCCATTTTTTGTTTTATCACTTTTCTAAAAATTTGATGTCGTTTAGCCAGAGAATTGAGAGCATTTACATTTAATGATAAGATTTTAAAATTTTGTTCCATTCCTTTGTGGTTCTACTATGCGATATTTCCTATTACTTCCTGTCCTTTCTCTTAGCTCTTCTTTTCACTCCTTCTTCCTCTTGAGGTTCCCCTTCTTCCTCTTTATCTCCTTCCTCTAGTAGTTTTTCTCGCTCTTCTTGTTTTTGTGTCCTTTAAGTCCTCCGTTCCGGTTCCTCCCTGTTACTATTTGCTCCTTCTATGCCCATCATTTGGTCATGCAGGTTCTGTGCTCTGTGCTGTGAATCCACTTTTATTTTTTTCCCTTGCCACGACACCACCATTCCTTCCGGTATTATCCATCTAAATGGTATATGCCGTTTATTTAATAATGTGGCTAGGAACCAATATTCTTTTCTTAGTTCTCTTATTCTCTTAGGTACTTGCTTTACCGTAATTATTTCTTTGCCTTTATAAAACATGGGTTCATTTTTTGTCATTTTATAAACAATGTCTCTTATTTGGAGGTGGGGGTGGGTGTGGGGATACAGGACAGCTCAATTAATAGGACTAAAAACCCAATGTCAGACCAAGCTATAATAATAATGCAAATCCAGAGCATGTAAATAAAAATATCAATCTCTGCTATAATTTTCTGTTGATGTAATTTTTTGTTGCAGTGAATGAAACAATACTGATTTGGTGCGCAGGACATCTGCCAGGACCCCTCTGAAGGCTTCTCAGGGGGAGATGAAGCCTGGCCTGAAAGAGCCCCCTCCCTTGCCAAGGAGGCCCGAGAGGGAAAGGGCTCCGGGGAGAAAACGCTCACCAGACGCCGTCCTTCCCTCATATCCAGGTATAGATGCTACAGGGCTGGGCTACCTATGGAACCAGCCTTGTCCTATCACATCAGCCCACCCCACACAATCAATCCATCCATCCATCCATCAATCAATCCATCAGGACAGAGCCAGAAGGGAAAGGTGTGACGAATTTGCCAAGGCTCTGGGGGAAAAGTTTACCCTGAAGTCCTTGGGGCGGGTTGACAGGTACCTGGGTGTACATATCTTGGCCACTAAAAAGGGATTTGCATTATCCCCCCCCCCAAAAAAAATTGAGGAGTTGTTGGCCAAATGCAAAATGGCGGAGTCTAACTCAACGCATAGCCCCATGCAAAGTGACTACTATGGCCATAATGACAAGGACAGCCCTGAGTTCACAGATAATAAATTTTATAGATCTGTGATTGGCTCCTTGCTATACATTAGCAATTGGAGCAGGCCTGACATAGCTTTAGCTGTAAATCTATTGTCCAGGCATGTGGAAAACCCAAAGGAATTCCACTGGAATGCTGTCAAGAGGGTACTTAGGTACCTCAGGGGCACGGCCGATGCCCTCTTTATGCTGGAACCAGAGAAGGGGAAGCCGGCCCAGCTCTCCGCTTACTCGGACGCAGACTGGGCTGGTGACACCAAGAGTAGACGGAGCACCTCTGGTTTCCTCATACTGCTAAATGGCTGTCCTATCCATTGGCATGTTAGGCAGCAAAAATTTGATTCTTGCTCCACGGCCGAGGCAGAATATGCCAGCCTATCGGGCACAACAAACGACTTGATTTGGTTCAATGCTCTGGTAACGAGCATCTGGGCACCTCCTACTCTGCCCATCCAAATTCAAGAAGATAACACGGCCGCAATTGGAATCTCGGGGGCGTACACGGTGGGCTCTAGGTCACGCCACATAGACATCCGCTACAAGAATGTCAGGTAGCTTGCCAGAATGGGGTTTGTACACATCAAACATTGTAATACAACCGACCAGTTAGCTGATCTGTTCACAAAACCTGTGCCCATTGACCGACACAACCTTCTGTGTAAGCGTTTGTGTTTGCTCCTGTAAACGATGCATCTGCATGTCTATGACGCCTGCTCACCCCCTCACTCATACTCACTGGCACCTGTCATTGGCTGGCAAGAAGGGGAATTGTTAGGTGTTTTGTGCCAGCCATGGCAGTTTCTTAAAAGGCCACCAGATGGGAGCAAAGAGGCACCTTTGATCCCACTGGTGGGCCAAAGGGCTCCGGCCCCTGCAGCCCCATTGGGGAGAGTTAATGGCCCTCCGGCCCCCTCACACTTTGGTAAGGGAGAGGCCAGGGGCCCCTCTAAGAATCCCTGCACAGGGGCTGCTCTTTGGCTCTTGTTCTAACTTCCTACAGGACTGAACCAGGGGCTCAATCCAGGCATGGATGCCTCCTTTTACTCTACTTTACTTCTAAATAAAGATTCAACGTGATTGCATCCTTGTGTGCTGCCTTTTCTTGGAAGTGGCCTCAACGAACCATCGATCTTTGTGAGATCCCTCACATCCCCATCATCTTTGCTGGTCAGAAAGTCAGAAAAGGGGTCATGGGACCCCAGGACATTGCAACTGTCATAAGTACATGCCAGTTGCCAAGCCTCTTGAGCTGAATTGTGGCTGTACGTCTAGGTAGCCCAGCCCCAGAGACGAGGCAGGCCCCCAACCTCCTGACCTTCCCCAAGAGCATGAAGACTCAACTCTGCCAGCTGTCTGGGGGCCCAGGGGGGCCCTGCAAGCCATGGGGGGGGTTGGGGAAGAAGGAGCTTCCTCTCCTTTCAACTCTGCAATTGTCCCTTTTGCCTTTTTTAAAAAAACAAACCTGTTTGGCTTTTTTTAAAAAAAACTTTGCTTTCAACTGCAGCTTTTGTATCGTTGGAGAGTTTTACCAAAACTACTACAACACTTCAGCGATGATGGGCAGTGCAGAAACTGGACCCCCCAAAAAATCATATATACAAGTAGTCCTCGATTTACGACCACAACTGAGCCCAACATTTTTGTTGCCAGTTGTTAAGTGAATCACTGCAATTCCTAAATTAGTAACATGGTTGTTAAGTGAATCCGGTTTCCCCCTTGGCTTTGCTTGTCAGAAGGCTGCAAAAGGGGATCACGTGACTCCTGGGACACGGCGACTGTCATAAATGTGAGTCACTTGCCAAAGGTCCAAATTCTGATCATATGACCGTGGAGATGCCAGAATGGTCATAAGTGTGAAAAATACTTTGTTCAGTGCTGTTGTAATTTGAACCAGCACTAAAAGAACGGTTGTAAGCCAAGGACTCCATATAGAATAGAATAGAATAGAATAGAATAGAATAGAATAGAATAGAATAGAATAGAATAGAATAGAATAGAATAGAATAGAATAGAATAGAATAGAATAGAATTAGAGAGTTGGAAGGAACCTTGGAGGTCTCCTAATCCAACCCCCTGCCCATGCAGGAAACCCTACACCAGTATATCATATCTCCTATATCTCATATCTCATAATAAGAAAAATTAAAAAACCAAGCTCGGTAGCAGACTTAGCCAATCAAAGAACAAAGTTGATCAGCCTTAATCTTGGTTAGGTTCTTTTGAGATCTAGCACGTTGAGGGACACCATCACACTGGGTCATTCCATAGTGACCCCTAGCTTTGCTCCCCATAATGTCGCTAATGTTTTTTGTGGTTTTTTTGAGAAACTTTATTGAGATTTTTTACAAAAAAGAAAAAAAAACATAAGTGTACTGACATTTACAGTTAGTATCAGATGTGCAGTGTTTTAACTATATACATAAATAATACTTGGTGATATTTCAAATCACTTTTTACCGTTATTTAACACACCTTTAGGTCTTTCTTTCATTTTATCATGCATCCACTTGTACCACCTTTCCCACACAATATAATAAACTGACTTCTCATCATCGTTTAATTCATGAGTTAATTTAGTCATCTCTGCGCACTCCAATATTTTCCTAATTGTGAGCTCTTCTGGTGGTTGGGTTTTCTCTTTCCAGTACTGTGCGTATGCCAATCTGGCGGCTGTAATTATGTGGATCATTAAATGTATCTTTTCCTTTCCATATGGCTTCTTTACTATTCCCAGGAGAAATATCTCTGGTGTTAATTCAATATCTTCGCCAATTATTTCATATAACCATCTCCTGATCTTGTTCCAATATCCTTTCGCTTCCGGGCATGTCCACCACATGTGAAAGAAGGTGCCTTGACCGTGGCCACATTTCCAACAATTAGGATGTATATTAGGGTATATCTTTGCTAGTCTGGCCGGGACTAAATACCATCTATGTAGCATTTTATAATGGTTTTCCTTGTATGTCGCCGCTGTAGTCAATTTAAGATTCCTATTCCATGCCTCCTCCCATTCCCCAAAATTTATATCACGCCCTATATTTTTCTCCCATGCATTTATTTGATTCTTTGTGATATCTTCGGACTTGTCATCACCTAATAAATAGTTGTATAGTTTGGCCAGAATCTTTTTATTTGTTCCCATCAGGACTTTATCCAATCCATTTGATCCAAGTTCTAAACCGTATTGTTCTTTGTCTTTCTGATATCTAGATTTTATTTGTGAATAGGTCCACCAATCTAAAGTTATTCCTTGCTCTCGTAAAGTATCATTTGATTTAAGATTCCCTCCTTCGTCTAAGATATCTTTGTACCAGCCCATTTTCTCCATCCCCCATCTATTGGGGTGGATCAGGGCCTCCATCGTTGAGAGCCAACTTGGAATTTTTTTGTAATATCTTTGCCTAATCGGGGTCCATGTTTGTATCAATGAGTCTCTAATTTTATGTCTATGGAAATATGTCTTCCTTTTCTTCTCTACATCCCAAATGTGGGCATGCCACCCTTTTTGCAAATCGTGGCCTTCTAGGGTAAGAATCCTCTCATTTTCCAGGGTGATCCAATCTCTTATCCAGACTAGCTTAGCTGCCCTGTAATATATTTCCCAATCGGGGAGTCCAAATCCACCTATATCTCTTTTGCCCCTTAAAATTTTAATAGAAAACCTCGGTTTTTTCCCCTCCCATATAAATTCTCTGATGATTTTGTCTAATTCTAAAAAAAACTTTTTCTCTAAATTTACCGGTATGTTTTGGAATAAAAATAGTATTCTGGGGAGAATATTCATCTTAATTGTGGCTATCTTGCCCAAAAGTGATCATCTTATTTTCTTCCATCTGTCAAGGTCTTGTTTCATCTTCCTAATTAGGGGAGTATAATTGTCGTCTTTTAAGGTCGAACATCTTGATGTAATCCAAATTCCTAGGTATTTAATTTTTTTGGCAACCTGTAGTCCTAATACTTGTTTTTCTGGCTCTCAGTTGTATTCTTAATCAATACTTTGGTTTTGGTTTTGTTCAATGTGAAGCCTGCCACCTCTCCATATTTACTTAATTCCTCTAGCACTTTTGGTCCTGATTCTATGGGGTCTTCAAGGATTAAGGCTACATCGTCTGCAAATGCTTGCGTCTTGTAAATTTCCTTCCTGATCTTCAGTCCTTTTATTTCCTCATTAATTCTAATTTTCCGTAAAAGAACTTCTAAGGCCAAAATAAACAATAATGGGGATAGGGGGCAACCTTGCCTTACTCCCTTACTAATTTGGAATGTTTTAGTCCTATGCTCAGTGGCAGACTTAGCCAATCAAAGAACAAAGTTGATCAGCCTTAATCTTGGTTAGGTTCTTTTGAGATCTAGCACATTGAGGGACACCATCACAGTGGGTCATTCCATAGTGACCCCTAGCTTTGCTCCCCATAATGTCGCTAATGTTATCAAGGGGGTTATCCAGGGGACCCTCCATATCCCATCCCTATTATCTTGGGGAGTAAGAGGCCCCTTGGGTCATGACACCAGCTGTCCCCCATGAGAACATAATGCGGTGATGTCACAGCCCCTGGGGCAGAGATATAAAGGCAGAAGGGATGAGAGGGGAGCTGTGGAGAGTTGAGGAGAGTAGAGGATAGTTGAGTTCAGTTGAGTTGTGTTGAGCAGAGTAGAGCAGAGCAGAGCGGAGGGGAGTGTTCTACTTTGTCAAATACCTCGCTGAAGCCTTTCAACTTTTATTTCTAGTCTGTCTTTCACAGTTACGTTGTTGGTAGGTTGGGCTATAGTTTCTTTTTGCATGCAAAGAACGAGTTAAGCAACTCTGCTTTCTCTCTGCTGCCTGTAATTTCCTTGCCGTCTTCTCTCTTTAGGGGACTTTTAGTTTGGTTGCTGTGCCAAACCAGACAGTTGTAGAGGTACAAAGGAGAGACTCCCAAATTCCTCTGTAGATCAGCAGCTCCTTGGGCAGTCTGAGCTTCTTGACCCAGGAAGAACATGTGATAAATAGAGATAGATAGATAGACAACTAGATAGATAGATAGATAGATAGATAGATAGATAGATAGATAGATAGATAGATGATAGATGATAGATGATAGATGATAGATGATAGATGATAGATGATAGATAGATAGATAGATAGATAGATAGATAGATAGATGATAGATAGATAGATAGATAGATAGATAGATAGATAGATAGATAGGAGCACCAAGGACCCCTCCTTTCAACCTGGAGTTACAAAACTTCTCCTTTATTGACAGGATCTCCATCCAGTTCAAGAACTCCCTCTTCACGAGAGGATGGACCACATGCTAAAAAAGTTGCCCTTCTTGAAGAAGGAGGACAGCAAGGAGTCCCATCCACAAATTACGAATAATGACCCATGGCAGTGGAACAGTCACTTCTCTGGCTCCCACCCGTCCACTTCTTCGGCCACTCAAAGAACCACGCAGGTCTTGCCCCTTCTTGTAAAGGGTTCCCCAGCTCCAGTGGACATGAGCAAGAAGGTGCAGCCTCCAGCACTGGTGCTGCCAGAATTGGTGCGCAGGACCCCTCTGAGGGCTTCTCAGGGGGAAATGAAGCCTGGCCTCAAAGAGCCCCCTTCCTTGCCAAGGAGGCCCGAGAGGGAAAGGGCTCCGGGGAGAAAAAGCTCTCAAGACACCATCCTTCCCTCATATCCAGGTATAGATGCTACAGGGCTGGGCTACCTATGGAACCAGCCTTGTCCTATCACATCAGCCCACCCCACACAATCAATCCATCCATCCCTCCATCAATCAATCCATCAGGACAGAGCCAGAAGGGACCTTAGAGGTCTTCCTTCTCCAGAGACCAATTGCATTAAGCAATAAGTTTCTCTTCCTACCTTCTAGTGCTTTGGAAAATAAGTTGGCCCCCTCCTCTGTGTGCCAGCCCCTCAAATACTGGAAGACTGCTCTCATGTCACTAGTACACCCTTCCTTCCTTTTCCTAACTACCCAAATCCAAATCCTGCAATCGTCCTTCATCAGGTAGGGACGTTATGGTGCAGACTCCATCAGTCAAAGAGTTTCGACTGTGGGGCCTAGGAAGAGGGTCTTCTCTACTGCTGCCACTGTATTAGGGAACATCTTACCCTCAGAGGTGAGGAAAGACCCCTCCCTCTTAGCCTTTTTCAAAGGCTAGATCTAAATTATAAGATTACAACATCATGAAATTTCAAAGCAATAAAAAATTCCAATTCCATATATAAGATGGTTGTCTAAGGACAGGAAGATCAGGGCCTCGAGACTTATGACACGTTTGACCCCTCCCTCAGGCTCAGCCTGGTGATCCACTACGCACTCCTTGTCTCTCTCTGCTTTGAGAAGGCTTGTCCTGTCGAATTGCCCATCAATCTCTGTCTGTCTCTTCTTCTCAGAACTCTCTGACGAGTCTTTCAAAAATTTATGGGAGAGCAGGAAGCCATTAAAAGGCAGACCCGTCAAAGAAATCTTGGATCTCATGGACGAGAGAGAAATATTAGAGACCATCTTGGACCATCTTCGTCCTTTCCAGGTAAGCAGCTGGGTTTGTGTCGCGGTGGGCCCTGAGGTCCATCGTGGAGAGGGTCCAGAAGCCAGGGCTGCCTCGGTGGAGATCATTTATCCCAAAAGTAGACAAATGTAGTTATGGAGAATTTGCTGAACTAGGGGGTCCTTGCTGGAAGGATCATGGAACGACCATGGAATGATTGCCTCAACCATTTTGGACTCCACCTCAACATCAAGACAGGATACTTAGGGACTGTCACCACCCCTGGAATGCTTCAAATCAATGGAGAAAACCTAAAGAAGGTGGACATTTTTTGGTATCTGGGATCCCACCTCCAATGTCAATGGTGACATCAATGGCGAGGTGAGAGCAAAGGAGAATGCAGCCTGGATACGTTGGCGAGAACTCACCAGTGTGTTACTGGACAGACGAATGGCCACCCATCTTAAATCTAAGACCTACAAGACAACCATCCGCCCTGTTGCACTGTCTGGCACTGAATGCTGGGCAGCAACAACAGGGACCGCAAGCTCTCTGCATGCCACGGAAATGCGAAATGGTCCTGAGTGTGAGAAACAGTCCATTTTTTTCAGTTGTAAACTATCCTTTATAACTTCGAACAGTCAGTAAATAAATGTTCTGACCCAAACACGACAAACCCTCTGAAGTGAACTCAAAGATTCCTTTATGAGGAGAGCCAGCAGCCCCGACAAAAAGTTTCTCTCTCACCACAGGCTAACAAGTCCATCCGGCAGGGAGAAGAATCGTTGTCTGCCACATCTATTCATCTCCGCCCCCTGCCTTTTATCCCCAGAGCTAGGGAGGGGCTTCGCTAGCAGTGGTGGCTCGTCTGTCCCAAGGACCGGCCCATAGATTTCCACTGCTCTCCTCTCCTCTGCCTTCTGTGTATCCGCGCGTCAGGCACTGGACCCAGATGTTCCTCCTCTTCCTCATCCACCTCCAGACCTGCGGTCTGTTGACTCACCATCTGAGGGCTGACGGATGGCCCAGGCTCCTCCTCTGTCTCTCTCTCTGCCAGCCCCATTCCCTCTTCCCCCTCGGAGCTCTCAGGTTGCCTTGATGCTGGCCCTGACTCCCACGCCGCCTCCTCCTCCTCCTCCTCCTCCTCCTCCTCCTCCTCCTCCTCCTCCTCCTCCTCCTCCTCCTCCTCCTCCTCCTCCTCCTCCTCTGATTCGGCTGCTGGAGGGCCACAACAATAAATGGTGATAAATCAAGTTCTCACAATTTGTGGCAGAGATTTTCCAACCGTTCATCTCAAAAGCTGCCTCTGCTCCAGCTGATACAATCCGGATGGTCCTTGTTACGTGCTTCGTGTCTGTCCCAGCTAGAAAAGTCAAATTACTTATAATATGCATCCGGACGCAGAAGGGAAACCAATCCTCCCCTTGGAAACACACAGAAAGCTGTTCCTTCCTCTGCTCCTTCACTTTCTCACAACTTCTTTTTTGTTGTTCTTGTTGTTGTTGGCAAAGCAGATTCCTTCAGACCACAAACTGCCCAGGAGGAAAACAAGCGCATTGCCGCCCATCGACCAGAAGCAAAGCACGTCCCAGGTCTTGTCTAAAGACAAGGTAAATATGCGGAGGTTTTACACTTTTAGGGCCGCAGTTATCTTAGATGCAACATCAGAAGAGGACAGCTTGCCATGGCCAACTCACCGTGGCTGCCCACGAGCCACAGCAGACTCACCGCGGGTTAATTCAACCATTCCGTTCTCTCCAATAATGTTAAAAATCATTTTAACATTTGTCGTTTATGTTTCATTTGTCCCTCCTTTGAGGCCTCCTTTCTTTGACGCTTCTGTTCCACCATTTCCTCGATATTAGACAGACAATGAATAATAGAACTACAGACTTGGAAGGGGGCCTTGGAGGTCTTCTAGTCCAACCCCCTACTGAAGGAGGAAACCCTTTCCCATTTCAGGCAAACGGTTGTCCAATCTCTTCTTAAAAGCTTCCAGTGATGCAACACCCACAACTTCTGGAGGCAAACTGTTCCACTGGTTAATTGTTCTCACTGTTTGGAAGTTTCTCCTTGGTTCTAGATTGGTTCTCTCCTTGATAAGTTTCCATCCATTGTTTCTTGTCTTGCCTTCGGGTGCTTTGGAGAATAGGCTGACCCCCTCCTCTTTTTGGCAACCCTTGAGGTATTGGAACCCTGCTATTAGTGTAACTCTTGTTCCCTGGTGAGTTGGCCACGGCAAGTAGGCCATGGCTAGTTGGCCATGGTTAGTTGGCCAAGCCAAGAGGGCCATGGCAAGTTGTCCCAATCCACCACGGAGAGCTAATGCATGTAAAAAGATGAAGCTGCCAGATCTCCACAGAAACCATAAAGGATCTCAGGACGGCCAAACAGAGAATCAGCAAAGGGCACCTATGGGGATGGGGGAGGGGGGTTAAAGTAGCTTTTCAAGAAGAAGAAGAAAGTCAAAATGGCAATTATTGACTTATTAGATTCGTATGCTGCCCATCTCCCCGATCAGGTCACCCAGGACCAGTTTCCGTGTGCTTGACCACACGGAGTCCTTTTCTGATCCTAATTTCTCCTATATTTCCTTTTCCTGGCCGTTTGGTGGAGCTCCCTAGGACTCACGGACTCTTTTTCCCACCTTCAGATTAGCCTCTACAAATATTATGGCGTTAAACTGCGAAACTCAACACAGAAGGACCTGGTGACGGAACAGCTCCAAAGCCTTCTAAGTTTTTCACTCCAGGAAGAAACAGACCGAGAGGTGAGTGGCAGTGGGATGCCTGCGGGGGCTGAGACCTCCATCTTTGTGGGGTCCTTGGGGCTCTCTGAGCTTGGATGTTTTCTTGCAGACGTTTAGTGACCCAACTAGGTCACCTCATCAGTGCTAGAAGAGAACAGGTTTTGCAGAATAGAGGTGAAGGGAGGAGGAGGAGGAGGAGGAGAATTGTGGGGTCCTTGGTGCTCTCTTAACTTGGTTGTTTTCCTGTAGATGTTTCATGACCCAGCTAGGTAACATCATCAGTGCTAGAAGAGAATGGGGGTTACAGAGAGGAGGAGGAGGAGGAGGACTGTGGGGTCCTTGGTGCTCTCTGTGCTTGGTTGTTTTGTTGCAGACATTTCATTACCCAGCTAGGTAATTTCATCAGTGCTAGAAGGGCCTGGGGTTTGCAGAGAGGAGGAGGAGCAGGAGGTGGAGAAGGGGAGGAGAAAGCGGAAGGTAAAGACAAAGGGTTAGGTGCAAATAAGAGCCTTGGTGGTGCAGCGGACTAAAATGCTGTTAAGTAGCACTTAGCTGCCAGCTGCCGGCAATTACTGTGAGTTCAAATCTCACCAGGCTCAAGGTTGACTCAACCTTCCATCCTTCCGAGGTAGGTAAAATGAGGACCCGGATTGTGGGGGCAATAAGCTGACTTTGTATTAAAAAAACACCGCTTTGGGGGGGGGAAAGACCTACTAAGCAGGTCTATACAAAAGTATGAAGGCTATTGCTTAACGCATTGTAAGCCGCCCTGAGTCTCCGGAGAAGGGCGGCATATAAATCGAACCTATAAATCAATAAATGTCCTAATTCACAAACATCGCTTTGCCTAGGGAATCTCGGAATCCATTCGAATGGCATCCTTTTGCCACCTGCCTGAGATTCTGGTGGCCCTGGAGGAGGCTGGCCAGTTCAGGCAGACAAAAGGACCGTTTGCAGTAGAAGCCCCCATTGAGGTAAGACCAGGGATGGGGTTGCAAGGTCTGAAACTCAGTGCAGAAGGAGGCTGGGGGATTCTGGGAAGGAAGTCCAATGTGCTTAGAAGGACTTAGGCTCCAGGCTGTCAGGTCTCCTCAGATTGGTCATAGATCTCGTAGATGTAGGTGGTGCTGAAATTCTCCATCTCCATCTCCTGGAGAACTATTTTATAAGGCTAGAGAAGATTAGGAGCTGCCCCAACAAACACCTCGAGTAGACCCAAAGGTGCTTTTTCCAAAGGCTTGGGCTTGGTTTTTTCCTGAAGACATTTCGCTTCTCATCCAAAAAGCTTCTTCTCTTTTGACCCAAGTCAGACCTGAAGAAGCTTCTGGGATGAGAAGCGAAACCTCTTCAAGGAAAAACAAAGTCCAGTTGCCTTTGAAAAAGCCCCTTTGGGGCAACCGTGACCTGGATGACTAAGAAGCTCCATCAGTTTCCATCCATTGCTTCTTGTCTTGTCTTCTGGTGCTTTGGGAAAGAGTTTGACCCCCTCGTCTTTGGACTGACAGGACTCACAGACTCTCTCCGAGAGATGGATTCGGACCACATTAATACTCTGCTATGGCCAGGCAGTCCTGGGAGCGCAAGTAGAGGACATGATGCCTTTCCTGGACAACATTGTCTCAGAAATACTCTATCAGTATTCCAGCATGAAAAAGGTAGGCAGGTTTCCACCCTCTACTTCTCTTAATGCTGAGTTTAATCACAAGAACAATTATAATCCGGAGTCCTTAGCTTGTTTGATTTCTTAAAGACATTTCATGACCCAACTAGCATGTTGTGGGAGAGGAGGAGGAGGAGGAGGAGGAGGAGGAGGAGGAGGAGGAGGAGGAGGAGGAGGAGGAGGAGGAGGAGGAGGAGGAGGAGGAGGAGGAATCTATGGTCTTGTTGCATTTATTATCCTCAAGGCAGCGCTCCTGCATTACACTCTTTCTTCCTTTCCACACAACAACTCTGTGACGTGTTTTGGATTGAGACTGGCCCCAACTCACCTAGCTGGCTCTCGTGCCTAGGGCGGGACTTGAACTCACAGTCTCCTGGTGATTGGCCCAAAGACAGTTGGCCTTTTTCCCTAAGGAGGAACTAGAACTCACCATCTCCTGGTGATGGCGCAAAGTCTCTCAGCTGCCTTTCATCCTATAGTGGGACTAGAACCCAGAGTGTCCAGTGATGTTTTGATTGGGGGCCCCCAGAGTTCAACCAAAGACAATCGGCTACGTAAAGGTTTCAGTAAATAAATACATCCTCTTCCTTCTGGTTTCTTTTCATTCCCACTGGGGTTTTCCAGGACGAAGGGCTGAAGAAAGCCTTCATGAGGTCCATCATCATGATCACCAAAGCTGTTGCCAACAGCAGGAGGCAAGACCTCGATTTGCCCCAGAAACAGGAACTGGTCACAAACATCGTTGTAAGTGGGGAGAGGGGGGGAGGCAGGTGCTCCTGGGCGTCTTTCTTTTTGGAAGTGAATTTGAACCGAATTGAATGCCAATCAATGGAGCCTGAAAGGTTTTGTTGCTAAGTGGGACATTTGTTAAGGGAATTCTGCCCATTGTACGACCTGTCTTGCCACCGTTGTTAGCCGAATCATTTTCGTTCAGTTAATCGCACGGCTGTTAAGGGAATCTGGCTTCCCAATTTTATATAGGTCATCAAGAGGCCACAGTTACCCACCCCTGACTTAAATCATGGTCACGGGACACTGCAAACTGCCATCAATGCAAGCTGGTGGCCAAGTGACCGAAATGGGGTCACAGGATCGCTGAGGAAGGGGCGCCTCTCGGAACTTGGCATCTGGGTCATAAGTAGTCCTGAAGAGATCCCTCAAAACTTTAAATGGTGGCTAAGTGACCAGTTGTAAGCTGGGGACTTCCTGTGTCAACCAGAAAAAGCGTAGGGCTGGGAAGAGGGCCAGCTGGAGGGTGGCCATATCTCAGGTTCTTTCTTAGATGGGTTTCCTTCTCTTTTCAGGAAGTCATTGAAGATGAGCCCGCGAGACCCTTGTCCATCGAAAATCTCCATCAAGCGATCATCACCATCACCTGCATGAGGTATGTACCTGCCAAGAGACAGAGAGAGAGAGAGAGAGACAGAGAGAGAGAGAGAGACAGAGGAAGGAGGGAGGGAGAGAGAGAGAAATCCTGCATCCTGTTTTGGTCACCACAATATAAAAAAGATGTTGAGACTCTAGAAAGAGTGCAGGGAAGAGCAACCAGGATGATGAGGGGAGTTCTGATATTTGAGGGGCTCTCAGAGAGAGGAGGGGGTCAACTTCCCCCCCAAAGTAGCTGAGAGCATGATGAGAAGCGATGTATGGAAGCTTATCAAAGAGAGATCCAGGAGAAATTTCCTGACACCGAGAACAATCCATCAGTGGAACAGTTTGCCTCCAGAAGTTGGGGGTGCTCCATCCCTCGAGGTTTTCAAGAAAAGAGTGGACAACCATATGACTGGGATGGTTTAAGGACCATCAAGCAAGGGTTGGAGTAGAAGACCTCCGAGGTCCCTTTTAGCCTAATGAGTCTATGATCTTCTCACCCTCCTCCTCTTTTCTCGTCTTTCATCAGCCGTATGAAGCCCCCCTTGAACTCCGAGATGAGGTCTAAAGTGGTGAGAAAAAGCATCCAGAAGGTGTTTTCCTTGCCGGCTTACCTGGTGACAAAACTGAACGTGAACGGCCCAGGACAACCAGCTCAAACTCAGGTGAGCAGTCCAGATGGAGCCAAGCCATCTGAGATCCACCTGGAAATAAGCATGATTCAAAATCTCCTCCAAAACTCTGGATCCATCCATGAGCCCAATGTCCTTTTGTTCCTCGTGTTCAGCCGAGAAAGCATTTCCTCCAACTCTGGAAGAAAAACCAGCCCTGCAAGACGGGCCACTCCGTTGATTGCAGAAGGGTGGACTTCAACTCCCAGAAGTCCGTGGCTGGCTCAGGATTGTTGGGCGTTGCAGTCCACCAGTCGTCCTAAAAGGGCCATAAGTTCCCCAGCCCTGGATTTCTTCCTCTTTCTTCCTTTACACCACTTCTTCCTTTAGATATTCTTTTTCTCCTTCTAGGATTTTTATGACCAGATGGTGACCACCTGCAACACCATGCTCACCGCCTTGCTGTCCGAGGCTCCCAATTTGGATTCCCTGCAGGATGTCTTGACGGTAAAGAGTGATTCTTTCTCGGGGTTGGTCAGCCAGATGTTTAGGCTGGATTTGGCGATTCTGTCCAGCTGTCGAGCCCCTCCCAAGGACCCGGGATAGGCAAATGTGGCTGTTGGGTGGACAACTCGTCCCATGGGACAATTCAACCATTCAATTGAACTCATTTCAATAGTTAAAAAATGATGTTCATTTTTGTCATTTACATTTGTTTTGTCCCTCCTCTGGCATCTTTTCACTAATGATTCTATTCCACTATTTCTCTGATATTCGTGTCTCTCTTGTCCCACGGCAAGGAGGAAGGGAGGGAGGGAGGGAGGAGATGATAATAAGAGTGAGGGAGGGTCTCAGGGAAGTCCACAGGTGCCCCTGACACGAGAGACGTTGAGCTGGCCACTCCCACCTCGGCCACGCCCCCCTCGAGGTCAAACACAACCTTGATTCGGCCCTCCATGAAATCGAGTTTGACACCCCTGTCATAGAGCCTCGCAGCTGTTCCGAGTAAAGCTGCCTTCTGCAATTGACCGATGCAGATTATGTCGATGCCGATGGGATTCATTTTAGCAACAGAAATTTTGGACTCATTGTGGTCATAAGTCGAGGACTACCTGTATTTGTGATGGTTGCAGCATCCTGGGGGGGGGTGTCACCTGAACACCATTGGCGAACTGCCCAACTGGCTTCCGACAAGCCAAAGTCTACGGGAAAGCGAGATTCGGCTAATGACTGCATTATTCACTTAAGGACCACAGGGATTCGTTCAACCCTGGCAAAAAAAGGTCATAAAGCCAGTCACAAGTCGCCTAACATCCACCTTGGTAAGCACCCCAAATTCTGGTCGTAAGTCAAGGACTACTTATACAGGAAGTCCTCGACATACAGCCATTCATTTAGGGACCGAGCTGGGATGCTGCAACCGTCATAAAGATGAGTCATTGGCCAAGTGTTCAAATTTTGATCACGTGACCATAGGGATGCTGCAATGGTCATAAGTGTGAAGAATGGTCATAAGTCCCTTTTTCAGTGCCATTGTAACTTTGAACAGTGACTAAATACTAATAGCACTTAGACTTACATACCGCTTCACCGTGGTTTACAGCCCTCTCTAAATGAGGACCCAGGTTCTTCTCCTATCTGGGTCCTCATTTGACCGACCTGGTAAGGACGGAAAGCGAGTCAACCTGGAGCCGATCAGGATGGAACTGCTGAACTTCTGGCAGTTGGCAGAATTAGCCTGCAATACTGCGTTCTAACCACTGTGCCACCACGGCTCTAAATGAACTGTTGTAAGACTAGTTGTATTCCAGAAATCTTCAATTGCTACTCTAGTTTTCAGTCTAAAATAGACCTCAATTGACCAATGTCTCAAATTTGTTGAGCTCCTTAGATTTTCTCCCCAGTCCTGGCAACTTCTGTGGCTCTTCCAACTGTGAATCACAAATTCTTCCTTTCCTCCTCCTCCTTTGTTTTTCCTGGCAGCACATTAATCCCTGGATTGAATCTCCCAAGAGACACGAGAGAGAGAGGGCCATCAAGAGCATCAGACACCTCCTGAAGTTCGTTTCTGAAAACGTCAATTTCGACGTAAGTCACCGTTTGGGATGCGCAGTGAGATGTTTTCAAAGAAAGGAAGAAAAAGAAGAAAGTCCTGCTGCCTTTTGGAAAAAGCATCTTTGGGATGTGACCAGGAGGATATAAGGAGTCCCGCTTGATGAAGGGGTTGGAGGAGAAAACCTCCACAGTCCCTTCCAGCAATTGAGGTTCTGGGATTCTAAGGAGATTCTGAGATTCAAAGATTGAGATTAGATTCAGAATTCAAAGATTCTATGATTCTATGATTCTAAGATTCTATTATTCAAAGATTCTAGGATTCACTGATTTTATGAATCTATGACTATGATTCTAGTCTTCTAAGATTCAAATATTGGATAATTCTAAAATTCTAAGATTTTATGTTTCTAAGATTCTGTGATTCTAGAATTCTAAAAGGTAGGATTCTAGGATTCTGTGGTGCTATGGTTCCTATGCTCTGATTTCAGTTGGCTGAAACCTTCATGAGCCCCCCTTCTCATCTTTCCCCTCCTTTTTGCTTCCTTTCATTAGCCCACAGGTGACTTTTCTTTGCTGGGACAGCTGGTGGCTTTGCTGGGCCTGCACGTTGGCGACACCAGCAAAGAAGTTGGCCAGACGTCCGCAGAGGCCGCCTACCACCTCCACCACCTCATCATGAGCAAAATGGGTGAGAAAGTTGGACTCCAAGGGCTGCCAGGAGCCCAGGGATGCGCACTGCCCAGGAGAGCACTGGGTGGCACAGCTTGTGGCGTGACCAAGACCCCGGTCGTTTGCCTGGGCAGAGATGCCTGGAATTGGCCGTTGGTATTGGCACCTCTCAGGGCCAGGGGTCATTTGAAGACTGAGTTTCTCACGTTAAGTGGATCCGTTAGGCCAGTGGTCGGCAAACTCATTAGTCAACAGAGCCAAATATCAACAGTACAACGATTGAAATTTCTTTGGAGAGCCAAATCGGTTAAACTTAAACTAGATAGGTAGGTACATTGTTATTAACTTAATTAGGGTACTCCTAAACTGGCCTTTGCTAAGAACGTCCTCAATCTGATGGAGGTACGTTCGCTGAGGTCGACCCCTTCCATCTCTCCCATCCACACTCGTCCTGTATACTTCTTTCGTCTATCTCCTTTCGTTCATCCTCTTTATATGTCCAAACCATCTCCTCGACACTACATCTTCTTTCACTCCACAACGTTCCCTAAAATTAACTTAATAAACTTTACTTAAAGTTTTAAGTCTTAGTTAAACTATAGGTACGTTGAATAAAACTTGATCTCATACTTAACAACGATATTATTTATTGATAAAATTAAATTTCTTACAATTGACCTTACAATATCCATAAAATTAAATCATGACAATGACTGACAAACACTAATGTGAACAATGGCCTTGCATCTCCTTGGAAAGTTTGAGTAAGTCAGGTTTGTATGTTGTTTTTAATTTTAGGCACGATTCCAGGTTCTCATCAATAAGACAACTTCTCAATTTACTCTTGATAAGGTTCATGCTTGAAAATGATTGTTCGCATAAACATGTAGACCCGAATAAGGAAAAAAACAGCAAACGCTATTTTTTTCAGTTGATGATATGAGTCAGGAATACTATTCCGGGTGTTAAAAATCATCATATCTTCCTTCTCCGGGTCTTTCAAAGCAGACCACTTGTGCTGTGAACTAAGTTCACATTTATTTTTCTCCAATATTTCTGTATCAGCACAAAGACGTTCAAATTTCGAGCTCCACAATTCTTTGTTTTTGAAATCCAGCAATTGCATTTCAAAGTTGCCAATGTCAATATTAAAGGGAGAAACATTTAATTCTGTTACAGTAGCATTAAGAGGCTTTTTAACAAAGGCTAACGTCGCTTTGCTGTTTCTGAATTCCTGAAACCTGTTGAGAAAAGCTTCCTCATATTTAAAAGTGTTGTTTTGAAATAGCAAATGTCAATATCAGAATTATTTTCTTGGCGATGTTTCAACAGGCTTGGAAAGTGAATCGAAGTTTCTCTTTCAAAATCTTGAGCAAAAAGAGATCATTGGTTTTCGAATGAAATAACTTCTTCTAACATCGAAAAAATGGTGTTTCCTTTCCCTGTAGTTTACGATTAAGCTGATTTAGATGAGACGTAATGTCTACCATGAAATAAAATTTTGGATCCACTGATCGTTCGTTAGTTCTGGATAGCGAATCCCTTCTCAGGAGAAATGCTTTAATTTCTGTTAATAAGGAAGCGAAACGTTTCAAAACGTTTCCTCTTGATAACCAACGTACCTTGTTATGCAGCAGAAGATCGGCGTACTCGCTCTCCATTTCAACTAAAAATCCTTTAAATTGGCGATGATTAAGAGGTTTAGTTATAATGGAGTTGATAATCTTAATCACCAATTCCATAACTTTGCAAATTTCTTCTGGAAATGTCTGAGCACAAAGCGCTTCTTGATGAATGATGCAATGGTAAGTAAGTACCTCGTGATTAATTTTTTCTTTCAAAATAGCAACAAACCCGTTTCTTACGCGGTCATACTTTTCACCCCGTCTGTTGAAATTGAGAATATTTTATCGAGTGGAATATGATGTTTTTCAATGTACTCAATTACAGCTTTGCTATGTCCTCTCCACGTGTTTGACCTTTGAGTGGCAATAATCCTAAAATTTCTTCTTTAGGACCTGTAGATGAAATAAATCGTACAAAAAGTGAAACTTGAGCTGTATCATTTATGTCACAAGACTCGTCAACTGCTATTGATAAAGCTGAAACAATTTAAGATCTTCGACTTGCTGGTTGGTTATATTCGAAGACATTTTGACTGTTCTGTCTTTCACTGTTTTAGCAGACAATGGTAACTCTTTAATTTTTTTTAGAATATCGGCTTTGTTCTTAAAATCCCGAAATAGCTCTTCGGATGCATTTATAAAACAACTTTTTATGTATTCGCCGTCTGTATATGGTTTTCCTCTCTTAGCAATCTTTTGACTAACCACAAAACTTGCAATATTAACATTGTTGGAAGATTGAATCCAGTAATCAAATACAGAACTTGATTTTTCTTGACTCTTCTGAAGTTCCTCAACTGCTTTCTTCCTTGCATCACCGACAGGATATTTACTACTGAATGGCACGTGTTTAGTTTTAAAGTGTCTCTCCAAATTTGATTTTCTTGTTATGCACCAATTTTTCCTGACAAATGAGACAGGTCGGAAGGCCATTTAAGTTTGAACAAACGCGAAAGTCTCGGTCCATTCAACTTTAAATTCATGGTTTTCGTCTTCCGTTTTTCTTTGCTTCTTCTTTGTAGCCATGTCAAACAGGGCACCTAAAAAAATGTTTCATTTTATAATAATAAAGCCACCAACACAAAAATAATTACAATTCTTAAATTGATGACAAAAATACCTGTAGGATTTGCAGCTGGTTGGAAAAATACAGGTAACTTTATGCTCGAGTAGTTACTTTTGTCACCCGCGCGTGATTGGCGGATGCGACTAGCACTAACCACTGCACAAGGAGATTGCTGACTGACTGGCTCACTCAACTCGTGCATGAATCGCGTGCGCCTCTCCCACGCTGCGTATCCCATGGCCCACCTGCGCCGCGTCTCCCGTCTCCCGTCTCTCGCCCGCAAGACACCCCCACTTCTTCTAACGCCACTTCTTCAGAATAGACTCGCCCAGGCCGAAAACCGACTTCTGCGCATGGGCCACGAAGTTTCAATCGCACTGTGCGTGCGCGCCCGCAGGTGGTATTTTGTGGAAGAGCCACACTCAAGGGGCCAAAGAGCCGCATGTGGCTCGCGAGCTGCAGTTTGCCGACCACAGAGTTAGGCTAGGCATCTGCCATCAGCCAGCCTGGGCTTGTGAGTCTTGGCACATGGATTGGGTCTTAGCGTGTTTTGCAAAGCCACCTTTTAGTCATTGGATGGCTGCATGTATTGCAGGGAGCCAGAAAACGGGTTAACCAAGTTACGGGTTGAGTGGGCATTGTTAAGGAAAGAGCTAAAGAGGGTTTATAATTGCAATACATTATTTGTTAATTTTATAGTTTCAACCCCATTTTACGTGTCTTCTAATTTTTAATTGGGAGCCGTCCACAATCGGTTGAAAGACAGGCACTTATATCAATGGTTTACCTAAAGAAAAGGATCGGTTAAATTTGGCTAGTTAAAAGCTTAACCCAGTGGCAACTTTAAGCCATGTGGATTTCAATGCCCAGAATTCCCCAGGCAGCACACAATCAATTCACAACCTAATGCTTCATTTGCACATCAGACCAAGGTAGTCTGGGTTAAATCCGGTTAGATTCATTCATTCGTTTGTTCATTCGTTTGTTGGTTCATTCCTTCATTCCTTCATTTATGTAATTTGTCTCTTATGTAGCCCTATATTTCCCCTCCATTTACAGTCCCATCTATTGTGTTAACCTAGAAAAGGGGTTACAGGTAGTCCTTGACTTACAACAATTCATTTAGTGACCATTCAAAGTTTAACCGGCACTGAAAAAAAGTGACTTGTGATTGTCTTTCACACTTACGACCGTTGCAGCATCCCCATGCTCACGGGATCAAAATCTGGACACTTGGCCACTGACTCCGATTTATGACGGTCGCAGTGTCCCAGGGTCATGTGATCCCTTTTGTGACCTTCTGCCAAACAAAGTCAATGGGGAAGACGGATTCACTTAACAACCGGGTTGCTAACTTAACTGCTGCGGCAATTCACTTAACCAGGTTGGCAAGAAAAAAAATCGCAACCTGAGGCAAAACTCGCTTCATAACTGTCTTGCTTAGGACTCAATTGTGGCCGTAAGTCGAGGACTGCCTGTAATTGGACCACTAAAGAGGTCATTGTACCTGTTTCGTTCCTGATCAGTGAGATAAGAGAAAGGGGGGGCAGAGAAAGAGGGAGCGAGGGGGGAGGAGGAGGACTGGTGTCTCTGAGCTTTGTTGTTTTCTTGTGAAGGTTTCATGACCCAACTAGGTAACGAGAAAACCACCGAGCCCAGAGAGCACCAGGGACCCCTCAGGTCAGCCCTGAGCTACAGATCTTCTCTTCTGTTGGAACGACTAAACCGGCCGTCAGACGAAGGATGTTCAGAAGTTCCGAATGCCAAAATCTGACCTTCTCTTGTTTTCCTCCCTCCAAAGCCAAAGAAATGGATGAGAAACCTAGAAACAAGAAGGGGAAGGTCGTCACTTGGCTGAGGGAAGACTTCTCCTTTTCGGGCCCAACAATATTTTATAATAACGTCTCCAAAATGGCTACGGTACGTTTTCGTTCAGCATTTTGCCTGGCTTCTTATTGACCTTCCTTTTTCTCCTCCTCTTGACCTGGAGATACTCAAAAAAGTCAATATCACAGTGGGGACGGCAGGCTCCAAAGGCCGGAGGGTGGATATCCATCCCCCACAATGTCTAGGAGCAGGCGATCTCGGCTGCCATGTTGGCTTCTTTCACCCACATCCTAATATCACGTGGTGGATGTCATGGAATACGGCCTGCCTCTCTACATGGGGTGCTGTCCCCAGATACGGGTCAAAGTCTCTGGCTTGTCAAAACCCTGATGCATCTCTTCATGGTCTCCTTTTCTTCTTTCCGATAGGCCTTTGGCGAGCATCTGAGCCCGTCTCAAATAAACGACCTGATCTTAAAAGCCCTGGCAGCTCTGACACACCTGGACAAAAACATTTCACACACTGCGGGACTCCTGCTCAATTCGTTCTTGGAAGAATGTGGGATGGACATGGAGGAGGTAAGAAAATGGCAGGGTTTGGAGCAAAAGGGATAGAGGAGATTTTGTAGAAAAGAAAGATGAGAATGGGTGAGACCTTGTTGACTTGGTGACAACACTTCGGCTGGATTTAAGAAGGCTAGGGTTGGATGGAGACCACCAGGTAATCTTAGGGCTGTTGAGAAAGTTGGTCATCCCTTGGATTTCTCTTTTGCCATAGCTGCCCATGATCCTCAAGGAGATCTACCGACGTCTCCCGAAGATCTTGGACCCTGCCACCAAACAACAAACGCTAAAGGCAGTGTGTCACCTGGCGTCCAAACGGGTGAACAAAGTCGTGGATATTCTCCTCGAGTGCTCGGTGGCGTGCGATGGGTAAGAAGAACCTCAAGGAGATGTGCCTCCTGTTTTCTTGTACTCTACAGAGATTCTCAACCATTTGCGATAGGGGTGAATATCTGTAGCTTGGGGTGGGCAGGTCATGTGCTGATTGGGGGGGAGGTTGCATTGGGTTGGTTGAGGGCCAGTGCAGTCGCTGGTTGGCTGTGCAGTCGATCTGAATTCTGAGAGCTTCCTAGGCTGGTTGTCTCCACCATCCAGGTCATGATTGTCCCAAAGGTGCTTTTCCAAAAGGCAGCTGGACCTCCTTGGTTTTTTAACTTTCTTGGTCGCCACACTGTAGAAACAATGCAGAGACTCTGAAAGAGTGCAGAGAAGAGCAACGAAGATGATTAGTGAACCGGAGCCTAAAACATATGAAGAAGAGTTGCAGGAATTGGGTCTCTCTAGTTCGATGAAAGGAAGGATTGAGGGGGGACAGGATAGCAGTGTTCTGATATCTGAGGGGCTGCCACAAAGAGGAGGGGGTCAACCTATTTTCCAAACCACCTGAGGGCAGGACAAGAAGCAAAGGGTGGAGACGAATCAAAGAGAGAAGCAACCTACAATGTGCAGAACTTTCCTAGCAGTGCAAACAATTAACCAGTGGAACAACTTGCCTCCAGAAGTTGCGGGTGCACCATCACTGGAGGTTTTCAAGAAGAGATTGGACAGCCATTTGTCTGAAATGGGATAAGATTTCCTGCCTGAGAAGCGGTTTGGAGTACAAGACCTCCAAGGCAGGGGTGAAATCCTCTGGTTTGGTCTGGTTCGCCCGAACCGATAGTAATAATTGCTACTGTTTGCCCGAACCGGTAGTAAGAAAAAACGCTTTAAAACGTACGACAATCAGCTGTGCCGGGCAATGTCGGAACCTTTTTGTAATTTCTAATTTCAGCATTTTTTTACTACCAGTCAGCTGTGAGAAAATCAGCTGTGCCTGATTGTCTGTGAGGTTCCTGTTTGTTGCAGGGGCCATTTTGTGTAAAGTCCAGCTGCTTCTGCATTGTATGTGAGTCAGTTGTGTAGCTTTTGTGTTACTTTTGTGTAAAGTGTGATCGTTTGCTTTTGAGCTCTCTGTGATTCAGTGAGGTTCTGCATTGTGTGTGAATCAGTTGTGCAGCCACGCCCACCCGGACACATAACCACCAAGCCACGGCCGCCTGGTCATATGACCACCAAGAAACGGCCACCCGGTCACATGCCCACCAACCAACGCCCACAGAACCGGTTGGGAACATTTTTGAATTTCACCACTGCTCCAAGGTCCCTTCCAACTCGGTCCTTCTGTGAAAAGCACCTTTGGGTTAATTCTGTAGACACACTGCTCCTAGAAACCTCCCCCCCTTGACCAGTTCTGGGTTCTCTGGCACTTCCGGTGGCGCAGAGGCCCTCCTTTGAATGGCTACCAGACAAACGGTTGCAAGTCGAGAACTACCTGTAGCTATATTTTTTTCCATGCCTTAAAGCAGTTCATTTGGCCATCGGTTCTCTAACCCTTTCTTCCGTTGGGGGGGTTAATCTATCTGGAATGGCCGTCTCTTTGAAAATGGGGAAAGAATCTGATTTTTTTCCCCAATCCATTTTTCCACCTGCACAGAAGTGCCAGGGAACTGTGGAGGGCGCTGGCTGCAGACCCCTATGCTAACCTGAAGATCATGAAGCCCCTCCTCAAAAGGCTTGATGACCACGATCCCAGCACCGAAGCTATTGGGAGGGGAACAAGCAAATCCATCATGCCCATTGCGGTAAGCCCTCAACCGGTGGCTCTCCTTTCCTGAGATCTGCAGGTGGGCCAGGCCTGAGGAAAGGGGGAAGGGGCTGAGCAGAAGAGTCACCCTCGGGGGTCTCCTCATCAGGAGCAGGCACGCCCTGGCTGGAGGGAGGCAGAGGGCAAACTGGTGGGGGCTGAAATCGGAGCAAAATTTGACGTAAGCCCCCCTTCCCCCCAAAGTGCCCCATTGAAAGTAGAGGCATCTGTGGGCTTCCTCACCAGAACAGCTTTGATATTCATCCATCCATCCATTCATCCACCCATTCATCCAGCCAGCCAGCCAGCCAGCTCTATCATCTATCCACCCATCCATCCATCGGTTCATCTATTCATTAATCCATTCATTCATGTATCCGTTCATTGATTTATTCGTTTATTCATACATTCCTTCATTTATTCATTCCTTTACTCATCCAATCATTCATAATTCAATTGATTCCTTTATTCATTTCTTACGTTATTTCTTACAGAAATAACTAAAAAAGAGTTTGATTTAAGAAAATACATGATAGGAACCAACAAAGGCAAACACCCAACGGAGTACTTTGTGTCATATCTTATTTTAAATATTCTTAATCTGTATTTTTATTATGTGTTATATTGTTTTATTACATTGTTGTAAACTTCCCAGTGTCAGATTGCTCAGATGGCCGGTGGAGAAATTTAATTAATTAAGACCAATAGATTTGTAGTCCAGGTTTGAACTGTGGGGTCCTTGGTGCTTACTGAGCTTGGTGGTTTTCTTGCAGATGTTTCCGACCCAACCAGTCTAACCCTACCTCTAAGCCTAACTCTTCCAGCACTGATGATGTTACCTAGCTGGGTCATGAAACATCTGCAACCAAAAAACACACGCTCAGACAGCACCCAGGGCCCCTCCAAGGACCCCTAAGAGGTGGAGAGTCAAGAGCCCACTTAGGAATGAAGACAAACAGAGAAACGTGAGGTTACCGATCTCTTTGTCCCCAGTTCTGTCTCACTTGTGCTACTCGTTGTCTCCCTTTTGTCCTGTATCTACACCCCACTGGCCTCTCAAAGTCTGGAGGGGGTGTAGAATGGGAGTTTCAGAAGTCCCACTTCTAGCAACCTTTTGCTCCGTGTCTCAGACATGGACATTCCTGGCTCAGCTTTCATGGACATGAGGATTTTTTTCTTTCTCTGGGCACAATGAGAATGTATCTGCCGAACAAAACTCTGCATTGGCGACAAGAAGGGCATCCAGCCAGGAAAGCCTCAGCTCCATTCAGTTGCCCAGACTCCACCCCGCAAGGGATTAGGGGGTCGTTAAAAGAAGAAATAGATGATGATGAGGAATCTAAGTAACCTGATGAGCCCGAGCTGACTCTCCTCTCCTCCTGTTTCTAGGCCACCAATGCGCTCTCCTTCCTCCTCTCGCTTCCTGAGGCAGCAACCATTGTCCAGCATAAGTTCTCCAGCCTGCTCCTGGCGCTCGTGACGCACATCTATTTTCTGCTGGGAGCAGGCAAGAGCGGGTCAGAACAGACCTACCATCTGGGGTAAGGAATCTCCTGGGCCCAATCTGGATCCTTTCTCCATTTCTGCAAAGCTCAGGAAACAGTCGTTAAGTGAACTTTGTCCCATTTTGCAACCTTTCTTGCCAGAGTGGTTAAGTGAATCATTGCACTGGTTAAGTCCCATGGTCGTTAAGTGAATCTGGCTTCCCCGTTGACTTTGCTTGTCAGAAGGTCCCAAAAGGGGATCGCGTGACTCTGAGACACTGCGACCGTCATAAATATGGGTCAGTTGCCGAGAGTCTGAATTCTGACCACATGACCATAGGGATACTGTAACGGTCGGAAGTGCAGGGGGATCAGCTGAATGATTGGCACCAACTCTTCTGCCTTTGTTTCATTTAGCAACGCAGTCAAAGCCGTCAAACACCTCATCTTGCGCACCGGCTATCAGGAGGAGTTCAAGGACTTAGATATGGTTCAATGTTGGGCGATGCTGATGAGTCCTGAAAGTGTGTTTGAAGGCATTTTCCACCTGGTCCGGTAAGAAATTAAAAGTCAAAAGAGCTTGGCTACGAGGGGCAGTGGGTGAGAGAGGGAGGGGAGGCAGAGGGAGAGGAGGAAGAAGAGGAGGCAGAGAGATAGGGGGAAGGGGAGAGAGAGGGAAGAGGGAGAGGGGAGAGGGAGAGGGAGAGGGGAGAGGGAGAGAAAGAGGGAGAGAAAGAGGGAGAGAGACACACAGAAGGCAAAAGTGAGAGAGAGGAAAGATTAGAGGGGAGGAGAGGGAGGGGAGAGGGAGAGGGAGAAAGAGAGAGGGAGGGTGAAAGAGAGAGGGAGGGTGAGAGAGAGAGGGAGGGTGAGAGAGAGAGAGGGAGGGTGAGAAATTCTCTAAATGGAGTAATTCATTGAGTAATTCATTTATCGATCATTCAGCTCATGATTTCTCTAGCTTGGTGATTTTCTTCTCCCTAACCAGCAGATCTTGTCTGATCTCTCCATATTTATTCTCTTAGGATCTTGTTCAACTACTCGAAACATGAGCTGAAGGTCATGCTCCGACAGGCTGAGACCTACGTGCGCCACCCCGATTTAAGACACAAAACCATTGGGATGGTTTTCTTTTCGGAGGTGAGGAGACCTTGAGATGCACCCCAACCTTCTGGAGCTCAAGGAAAGTTGCCCAGGGTTCAACAGAACTTTATGGTTAGAAACTAGAAGTTGTGGGTTCTCCATCACTGGAGGTCTTGAAGAAGAAACTAGACAGCCATTTGTCTGACATGGTAGAGGGTCTCCTGCTTCACCAGGGGGTTGGGCTAGAAGACCTCCAAGGTCTCCTGGTATTCTGTTAATCAGTGGAATGGCTTGCCTCCAGAAGTTGTGGGAGGGAGGGAGGGAGGGGGGAGGGAGGGAGGAAAGGAAGGAAGGAAGGAAGGAGGAGATTGAGGGAGGGAGGATGGGAGGAAGGGAGGAAGGAAGACTCAATGACCCCAAATTCCTTTTACTTTTTGCATTATTTTTTGTATTCTTGCAACTATCATTTACACTACCTATCAGACAGTCACAAAAGGGATGACGTAACCTCGAAACACTGCGACCGTCATATATATATATATTTATATGCCGCCATTCTCCCGAGGGACTCAGGGCGGCTTACAAAAACAATATCCAATACAAATCACAATAAATTAAAATCAACAACCCAATTAAAACAATTTAAAATTATAACAATGTACACCCATAACGGATCAGTTAAGTTGACGAAAGGGCCACATCTTCAACTCAAATATGGACCGGCAAGTACCCAAATTTTGATCACATGACCATGAGGATGCTACCATGGTCATAATTCTGAAAAATGGACGTATCTCTTTTGTCAATGCCGTTGTGACTTTCAGCGGTCACTAACCGAGGACTGTGTTTATTTTCTTTTTCTCTCCCCGTAATGGCTGAAAGTGGCATCTTTAGTCGAGGCTCTCAGGGAAGTTCTCTTCCTTGGCTTGGCTAACGCTCCATATCTCCACTCTTCTTCTTCAGCTGCTGTTTCACCCGGAAATTTGCCAATTCTTTGTCATCCAAGACATCCTCCAGGTGCTGAAGGAATGGATGACCCAGCCATATCCGCTGATACAGACTTTCAGCGTTAGAGGACTGGGGAACCTCATCCAACACCCGTTTGAGGTAAGAGATGGGGGGCAGGAAGGGAGTGGCTTCCAAGGTAGTAGCAGGTGTGACCTCGCTCTCTGGGAAGTCTACAAGGCTGGGAAGGAGAGAAGAAGGAGAAGAAGAAGGCAACCAGCAGAAAGAGGACAGCTAGAGTGGTGTCTCTTCTACAAAGATGGCTGCAACCCTGGAAGATCTGAAGGTGCAAGTAGAGGCCAGATCCTCTTGGAGGACATTTGTCTGAAATGGTATAGGGGTTCTGGCTTGAGCAGGGGTTGGACTCGAAGACCTCCAAGGTCCCTTCCATCTCTGGTATTCTGTTAAGGACCAGGGGAGACCTGAGAGCAGTCTTCCAGTATTTGAAGGGCTGCCCCAAAGAAGAGGGGGTCAACCCATTCTCCAAAGCCCCTGAAAGCAGAACGAGAAGCAGCGGATGGGAACTAATGAAGGAGAGAAACAACCTGGAACTAAGGAGAAATTTCCTGACCCTGAGAACAATTCATCCTTGGAACGACTTCCCTCCAGAAGTTATGGGTGCTCCATCACTGGAGCTTTTCAAGAAGAGTTTAGATAACCATTTGTCCAGCAGAGTCTAGGGTCTCCTGCTTGAGCAGGGGGTTGGACTGGAAGACCTCCAAGTTCCCTTTCAACCCTCTTCTTCTATGCTCTGTGGCCTTCTCTTGCGTTTGTCATGATCGCTGTGAGACTCAGAGAACTCCAGTGACCGTTTAATTGCTCGTTTCTTTCCCTGCTTCCTCCAGAAGAACATCTTGGAACCCCTCTTGATGCCAGTGCTAAACTGCGCTTGTCACGAAAGAAGACCGTGGCAAAAGAAGCTATAAGGACCCTGCATTTCCTCCTCAGGAACCTCGATATCAAAACCCATGCGGTGAAGGCAGTCAACCTCATTCCGCTCCTTCTGAAACATTTTCATGATGTAAGTCAACCAAATCATAACAAACTGGTTTTCCACCTCTCTCTCCCTCCCTCCCTCCCTCCCTCCCTCTCTCCCCCCTCTTCCCCCCCTCTCTCCCTCTCTTTCTCCCCCTCCTCACTCCCTTCCTCCCTCTCTCTCTCTCTCTCTTTCTCTCTCTCTCTCTCCCTCCTCCCTCCCTCCTTCCCTCCCTCCCTCCTGCACTCCCTTTCATTCTCCCTCTCCCTCTATCTCTCTCTTTCTCCCATAAAGATGGGAGAAAGTCCAGAAGGAGCTGCTAAGATTGAACAACTCTGGTCTAGATCAGGATTTCTCAACCTTGGCAACTTTAAGAGGTGAGGACTTCAACTCCCAGAACTCTCCAGCCAGCATACTGGAGTTGGGCTCCCCATCTTTGGGGCAACCATGACCTGGATGATTGACCATCTCCATGGACATTGAACTGGGAATAGGTGTGCTCTGAACTTGTGTGTTCTCCTGCAAACTTCAAGAAACTTCTGCATGGCTATTCTGCTATTGGAGGGACTAACCTGTCTCTCTTCCTTCGTAGGACGACATCGAACTGAGGAATACCTCCATCACCATTTTTGGCATGCTCCTGAAAGGACTGAAGGAGTTACGGAACAGTAATATGGCCGAAAACATCCTGAACAGCCTTATTCCCCTCCTCATACAACTGTCAAATGATCGGACAAAAGAGGTGAGTTGAAGGGCTGGCTAAGCTGAGCTCCTGCTCTGATCATGCTACCTTCACAGAGACCACTCTGTACCCCCATCTTCACTCAGAGCAACGTGGTTGTACCACGTGGACACTCTGGAGAATGCAAAGACATTGTAGACAATCCTGAAGTTGTGGGGTCCTTGGTGCTCCCTGAACTTGGTTGTTTCCTTGAAGACCTTTCATGACCCAACTAGGTGTCTTTCCTCCCTCGGCCAGGTCTCCAGGAAGACCCTCGACTCCTGCGTGTCCTTTATGAACTGGGGGGGCTTTCCCAGCAACTTGTTTGACTATGAAATGTACACCAGTCTTCATAGCATGTACTCCAACATCTGCTACGTGGTTGTAAGTAGGAGCCAAGCTGGCCTGTCTTCCTTAGAGTAAACTAACCCTTTATTTGCCTGCATAGTTCAAGACGGTGGGCAATACTTCTTCTTTTCTTCACAAACCTGAGGTGGGTTGCCCTGCACCAAATGCAGTGGCCATCGTGACTACTAGAACTCCCAGTCACCAGCTGGCTTTCATGCCTAGGCATCTGCTCAAGTACATGCTTGCTAAGTAGCTACCGTGGTAATTAGATAAACTAGTCTTCAGACTATCATTGACTACTCATGTTTCTTGCCTTTAGTTCTGACTCTGCTTCTTATGCTGCTAGCCTTGCTTTTATTATCAGTTATAGACTGCGAGCCTTATCATTCTTCTATTCACATCTGCTACCCGACTGTAACAGTGTGGTGCATCCTGTCAGTTGAGGACAGAGGACTGCACCAAGCACCCGTGGGCTTGCCCTGAGAGAGAGGACTGCACCAAAGTCACCCAGCTGGCCATCGTGACTAAGGAGGGACTAGAACTCCCAAAGTCACCCAGCTGGCTTTGACCAAGAAAGCGGCCCCTTGGTAAAAAAAAAAAAAAGCTCTATAGTTCATTGGCTTCTTTGTTGCCTTGTTTTCCCCAGATGAATAAATGCAAGCAAAACCTTCCTGCGATGTTGGATCAGATGCTGGGATTCCTGAGGAGCCGGAACTCTTCCCATCGCGAGGCAGCTGCCCTCTTAATTGGTAATCACCAATGCCAACTCTGGAAGGAGGGCAGGAAAACCCAAGACAGGCGGGCGGCCTTGTCACCAAAAGAATCTATGCAGAATTAAGCCATGTCGCTTAATCAGACTGGAAGCTGCTCTTATACCGTGTGGCTTCTCCGGAACGGCTACGATCGCGCAACAGTTTCTCAGGCAGTTCCTGCCCTCTTTCTTAAGGGTATCGCTGCCGTTGTTAAGTTAGCCACATGGTTGTTAAGTGAATCTGGCTTCCTCCCGGATTTGGCTCAGCCGAAGATCGCAAAAAGTGATCTTTGACCCCCAAGACACTGTAAGCGTCATAAATACGAGTCGGTTTGCCAAGCATCCGGATTTTGATCTTGATGTGGCAACGCTTCTAAGTGTGAAAAGCAGTCGTAAGTTCCTTTTTTCAGTGCCATTGTAACTTTGAATGGTCACTAAATGAACTGTTAGAAGTCGAGGACTACCTGGCCTGTATCCCTCTCTCTTGTATAGGCAAACCCACAGCCGTGGCTTTTTCTCTGGAAATATTTCCAGCTGGCCTCCCATTCTAGTATTAACTGGATTCAAGGCTGCTTAGATTTTTTTCCAAGATGATGGTTGTTTGCACAGTCCTAGAACATAAAGTAATAGAGTTGGAAGGGACCTTAGAGGTCTTCTAGTCCAACCCCCTGCTAAAGCAGGAGACCCGATTCCATTTCAGACCAGTGGCTGTCCAATCTCTTCGTTAATCTCTTCTTGAAAGCCTCCAGTGAGGCCTGGAGACAAAAACAGAGGAAGAACGGCTACCCCTCGTCCTTCTTATTATTAGACAGACCCAATCCCTGGAACCATCCCGTAAAGTCCCAAAGCGACTCTTCCAAGTGGAAACCAATGAATTGCGCGTTTTTTTCCTGAATCAGTCGATTTAGCCGTCTCTGTTAACCCCACCAACGTTTTCTTTTTACGTGCCCAGGCTGCTGCGCGCAATACATGCAACCGGAAGTGATGACTTCAAAACAAATGAAAGAAGTTTTCCTGGGTGAGTTTCAAAGTTCCCTCGCTTGAAACAAGGAGTTTTTCTCCAGAAGCTCTGTCGCTGATCAGGGCTGGTTCTCACGGTTGATCCCGGAAATCCTTTGTTTTCTGGATTCGTTTCAGGTCTCCAGGATCTGCAAGGCGATTCCGAAGCCTCAGTGGCTCAGGCTGCAGCTGACTCAATGCAAGAAATCTTTCGGCAGTGTGGCCATCTGATCAAGCCGGGTCTTGTTAGTAGTCAACTCCCCTCCAAAGGCATCAGGAGGATCTCCGAGACCAAGCAATAATAGTTTCATAGTTTCATAGTTTCCATTATTGTCATGGCACCTCATAGAATGAAATTAAGTGCCATCCTCACTGTATATTATACTTTTTAAAAACCCTATAAAAATAAAACAAAAACACACTTCCTTCACATTGTATGCAATTGAATTAAAAAACCCTCGTATTGTATTCATATTGCACTGTACGTAGAATTGTATAGTTACTGCTCTGGGATAGAAGCTGTTTTTCAGCCTATTTGTCCTTGTTTTTATTGTCCTGTACCGTCTGCCAGATGGTAATAGTTCAAAAAGAGGGGGCCCAGGATGAAATGGATCCTTAAGGATGCTTTGAACTTTCTAAAGCCAGCGGGAGCTATAAAGCTCTTCCAAAGTGGGGAAGGGGCAACCCATGACCCTCTGGGCACCTGCCTTCCAGCTGGTCTTTGGGGAAAGCGAGGAAGCGTGAAGATAATTCTTACATCGCGAAGGACCACGAAGGAACGTCGCAGAAACAAGACCTGGCAGGGAGATTGTGGAAACAGGCCCTGGAGATAGACAGAACAATTTAATGTCAGAGAGAGGAGAAGGTTCCACGAGAAGGTCACAGAGCCACAGGTGCTATTGGAGAAGGGTGGTAGCAACCATCAACCATCGATGATATCTGGAACATCTCCACTCTTGCTCGTCTTCCAACAGAAATAGGAACGCCTAGAGTAGGGCAGATGCAGAGAGCTGAACACTCCGTGGGGGGAGATCTAATGTCCTCCAAAAAGATGCTCATTATTATCCACATAGATGGAGCATTGAATAAAAGCCTTCGGGAAAACCTCTGGATCCCAAAGGCGTCTTCCCATGGGCCCTGATCTCCTTTGGAAAGCATGCGACGTTTCTCAACTTAGTTTGTTAAGCCAGAAGGTGGCCGAGCACTGGTCCCCTCCTCATATCTGTTCCTGGCAGTCCTTTCAACTTTCAGCCCTGAATGAGCCCAGCCTCATAGGTTGTAAGTTGGACTGGTCATAAACCAGGTCATCCTGCGTCCGTGATCTCTTTAATGACTTTTAAATGGATTAAGGGAGTTGTTCAGTACAGACATTGTCAATAATCATATATTCATGTGCGTCTCCTAGGGGAAATTGTTTTGAGAATAGAAGAAGAAGAATAGAATAGAGCTGGAAGGGACCTTGGACAGGGGTGAAATGTAAAATTTGTTACTACCGGTTCTTTGGGCGTGGCTTGGGGGGGGTAATGTGACTGGGTGGGCATGGCCAACTTTGTTTTTTTAACTTTTCAAAGCATTTTTTCTGCAAATGCAAAAAAATGCTTTGAAAAGCCTCTGCCGATCAGGCAACACAGCTGGGATTGTCAGAGGCTTTTAAAGCATTTTTTAAAAAAGCCTCTCTGCCAATCGGGCAACTCAGCTGGGATCGGCGGAAGCATTTTTTCGGCGGAAGAGGTTGTAGAAAAAAGGCTTTTAAAAGTAAAAAAAAAGCCTCTGATGATCGTGCGGGTCAGCTGGGCATGGTGTGTGTGTGGGGGGGGGGGATGCAGGGATTTTTGCTACCGGTTCTCCCAACCACCCGCCGCCATCGCTACCGGATCGGGCAATCTGGTCCGAACCAGGAGATTCACCCCTGACCTTGGAGGTCTTCTAACCGAACCCCTGCTCAAGCAGGAGAATTTACACAATCTAAGATAACTTTGTCCTCTTAAAAGCCTCCACTGATAAAGCACCCACGACTTCTGGTGGCAGGCTGTTCCACTGGTTAATTGTCTTCTTTCTTAGGAAGTTTCTCCTCAATTCCAGGTTGCTTCTCTCCTTGATGAGTTTCCGTGGTTTCTTCTCCTGCCTTCTGGTGCTTTGGAGAATAATTGGACCCCGTCTTCTTTGGGGTAGCCCCTCAAATACTGGGAAACTGCTATCATGTCGCCCCTAATTCTTCTTTTCTTTAGAAAAGAATAGCGTCTAATTATGGTAGATGCCCCAAAGTGGAGAAAGGCAGACCAAAAAGGCATAGAAATATCAGGACAGGTAGTTCTCAACTTATAACCGGTCATTTAGTGTCCGTTCGAAGCTACAATAGCACTGAAGAAAGTGTTTTACGTCCCTTTTTCACACTGATGACCGTTGAAACATGGTTGGTCCTCAACTTACGACCACAATTGAGCCCAAAGTTTCTGTTGCTAAGTGAGACATTTTTAAGTGAGTTTTGTCCCATTTTACGAACCATTCTTGCCACCATTGTTAGGTGAATCTCTGCAGTTGTTAAATCAGCAACAAGGTTGTTAAGTGAATTGGCTTTGCTGGTCAGACGGTCGCAAAAGGGGATCACGTCACCCTGGGACACTGCAACCGTCGTAAATGTGAATCAGTGGCCTAGTGTCTGGATCTGGATTGTGTGACCCTGGGAAATGCTGTGGAAAACAGCCCTAAGTCACTTTTTCCGTGCCGTTGTAACTTTGAATGGTCACTAAATGAACTGTTGTAAGTCAAGGACTACCTTACCCCAAGGCTTTCCTTTCTTTTCGTTCTCCACTTTCCGTTTCCTTTCTTTTCGTTCTCCACTTTCCGTTTCCTTTCTTTTCGTTCTCCACTTTCCGTTTCCTTTCTTTTCGTTCTCCACTTTCCGTTTCCTTTCTTTTCGTTCTCCACTTTCTGCCAAGTCTTTCCAAATTCTTCCAGCAGATGGTGGCATAATCTTACGAGTCTTCCCTCAGCCAAGTTCTGTAAAAAAATAATAATCAGAATTTGATTTTGGAATGTTGGAATTTCCCGATATATACGGCATACCTTGTTTGAACTTTCTGAACATGTCCCGGTCAGTTTCTCAACATGATGAGATGGAGGAATAAGACTGAAGAAGAAGATTCGCAAAAACAGTCAGGAAAAAATTGAGATGGAAAAATTACAATCTTTTTGCCTGGGGAGGATAGTAGTAGTGAAAATGAATGACTAGACTTTTATTTAGGGACATGATTTGTTTTGAAAAGTTATATTAAGTAATCTTACGTTTGAATTGTTATGGGCTACTGACCAAACTTTCACTTTTGTCCTGAAGTATATTAACACTAAAGTTAATTTTAAGGAATGCTTTGCTGAAAATCTATATAAGCTTATAAAGAATGTTTTGTTGAAGAATAAATATAAACTTGTGGGGTATAAGGAAAATATAAGTGGTGCAAGGGTTGAGGGAAGGTCTTTTACAATATTTTTTATAGATATCAAATAGTGAAGATGTTATTTGATTATAAGCAGTGTATTTGTAGAGAATAAGATGAATAAGTTTATGCAAAGTTATTAAGTAAGGCATGTTCCCAGGAAGAATTAAGATGAGTTTATGGGGTAAAAAGTAGAAATAAGATTTTTACAATATAGTTTATTTAAGATTGGTTAAAATATTTTGTCAATGGGTTCATATATGTAAGGGTTGGAGATGTGATGGTTAATTGTAATTGGGTGCTGATTGTGCAATGCTGGAAGAAAGAAGACTTGCGTATTATTGAAGAACGGACAAGAATGAAGTTGGATTCATTATTTTCAAACAATAATCGGTTTAAATAGTTATATTCAGATACGAACAAGGGGAGTTAAAGTGTAAAAGGGAGATAAATCTATAGATAGTTAGCTTATGTTTTTTTTATATGTTTGTTAAATGCTATAGCCTGTATTTGCTCTGGGAAGTCGGGGGGGTGGGGGTGGGAGGGTTGGGCAGGAGGGGGGAGGAGGGAAGGGAAAATATGTGTAAAATTAAAAAAAACTTTTTAATAAAAAAAAAGAAGTGGTTTGGAGTAGAAGGCCTCCAAGGCAGGGGTGAAATGCTACCAGTTTGGGCAGGTGAGCCCGAACCGATAGTAATAATTGCTACCTTTTGCCCAAACCGATAGTTTAAAAATGCTTCAAAAAGTACGACAATCAGCTGAACCAGGCTTTTTTAAAACTTTTTTTTAGCATTTTTTTACTACCAATCAGCTGTGAGAAATCAGCTGTGCCTGATTGTCTATGAGGTTCCTGTTTGTTGCAGGGGCCATTTTGTGTGAAGTTCAGCCGCTTTTGCATTGCGTGTGAGTCAGTTGTGCAGCTTTTGTGTTATTTTTGTGCAAAGTGCAATAATTTCTTTTTGAGCTCTCTGTGATTCTGTGAGGTTCCTGTTTGTTGCAGGGGCCATTTTGTGTGAAGTCAAGCAGCTTTTGCATTGCGTGTGAGTCAGTTGTGCAGCCACGCCCACCCAGTCACATAACCACCAAGCCACGCCCACCCGGTCAACTGCCCACCAAGCCACGCCCACAGAACCGGTAGGGAAAATTTTTGAATTTCCCCACTGCTCCAACTTCCAACTGGGTCATTCTGGGAAAAGCACCTTTGGGTTAATTTTGGAGACACGCTGCTCCTGGAAACCTCCCCCCCCTTGACCAGTTTTGGGGTCCCTGGCACTTCCGGTGGCGCAGAGGCCCTCCGTGAGGGACGGCCCACTGAACTCTCAGCCACGGAGGGTGCGGTGTGGCTTGCCAACTCCTCAGCAGATGTGGCAGGGGAACGGCCAACGTTTTACCTGCCTGGGCTTCCTTGGAAAGCAAACTTCGGGAGTGGACCAGGGTTTCCGTGCTTCGGAAGGCTTTCATTGCTGCAGAGAAGAAGCAGCAAAGGCCCAGGAGCAACGTAAGCTTCCTGCCATCAGATCAGTTGGCAACCCTGGCTCCTTCACAGGGAGATACCAACCCAGAGGAATATATGGGCGGTCCTCGACTTACGACACAAGTGAGCCCAACATTGCTGTTCTGAAGCAAGACAGTTGTTAAGTGGATTTCCCCCCATTTTACGAACTTTCTTGCCATGGTTGTTAAGTGAACCACTGCAGTTGTTGAGTTAGAAACAGTTGTTGAGGAAAGAAGGAAGGAAGGAAGGAAGGAAGGAAGGAAGGAAGGAAGGAAGGAAGGAAGGAAGGAAGGAAGGAAGGAAGGAAGGAAGGAATTAAGGAAGGAAGGGAGGGAGGGAAAGAGGGAAGGAGGGAAGGAGGGGAGAGGGAGGG